TTAGTATATAAAAGTATTTGAATATATTTGATAGATAATGGATAAAATGTATGAAAAATAACAAAAATAATATATAAATTTTAAAATATAATAAAACGATTGTTTTATTTTGATTTTAAATAATATAATATTATTATTAATAATTATATTTTTTTATAAATTTTTATATTTTAATAACTTTCTTATTATTATTTAATTATATTTACTTTTATTTTAATTTTTGTTAAATACCAAATTTTAAGCTTTAATATAAGAATATTTTAGATATATAAACTTAAGCAAATTATTTTTTTAATTAATATAAAAAAAATATTATTAAAAATACCCAATAAAAAATTTGTATTATACTTATATTTTATTTTTTATTTTAATTTTATATATTTAAAAATTTCAACTTTGAAAAAAAAAATTTAAATCAAAAAATACAAAAAGCATATTTTATAGAGTAAGTAAAAAAAAAATGTAAGACTTTAATTTTCTTCAATAATTACCGATACATTGTTCATCAGTTGTTATTTAAGTAGATTATTAGAAAAAAAAAATTGACCAAGAAATTTACTAGTACCAAAGTTACAGCACAATATTTAATCAACTTTTAGTACTTATATACATATGTATGTAAAAAGTACAATTTCTATTTTATTTTTTTTTTTTTATTTTGTTTATAATTCTGTTTTTTTTTTTGTTTGGCGAGTTCAACTTATCTAATCAAATTGTTCTTTAAATGAAAACCTTATTTTTTTTTCAGTTCATTTTCATTTATTTATTTAATTTAATTGATTATTATTTAATTTAATTAATATATTTATTTAGAAAAAAATTAACTAACAAAAAAAACAATTTATATTATTTCTTTCCCTAAGTTCATAATACATATTTGATTTTAAATTGAGATCCTAAAATATATAGTAATAATAGAAATTTGAAAAGAAAACATTTATATATATATAAATAAATTAATATTTATTTCATTTTATTTTATATATCATTTGTTTTTTTATTTTATTTTTTGCTTTAATTACTAAATATTTGCACTAAATACCACACTACATACTTTATTATTATGATTATATTCAAATGAATAGAATAAAATAATATTAAGTATTATATACGAATATATGTAAATATATATGAACATGTATGAATATAATATAATATGTATATGATATAATGTAATAAATAAGTAAACAAGTATAATTATGTGTAAAATATAATTTTTTTTATTTTTGCTTTCCGAATCAAAACTAACATTAAAAAAACATAGAGAAATGAATATAACAAATAAATAATTATTTATAAGAGAAAATAAAAATATAAGATACAATGTAAATAAAATAATGGGTACATAAGTAATAATAAAAAAATATATGTATATAAATATATAAATGTTTATTTTTACAATAAAATTAATGTTTGTAATATTTTATTGTGTTTAATTAATTTTATATATGAAGTAAAAAGTGAAAGCTTTCACTTGTTTTTTGTTTTTTTTTTTTGCAATATATCAAAATTTACAAATTCGAAGAAAATTATAATTTTCGAAGTTATTATTTATTAGATTGGAGAGATTTTAATGAGAGAGATTTTTGTTCTCAAGAGAAACTTATCATAGTACCTATTAAAGAAAGAAAATAATTCCTTTAAATAACAGTATTATTCATGGACCATGATAAGTAAATTTTATTTCTATTATTTGAGAAAAAAATATAAGTACTATTATTAAAAATAATTTATTGTCAATTTAATAATACATACTTTGACATTATATACTTGTATACACAAGTTCACTTTTTAACCTATTCTAAAAGTATGTAAATATTTTGACATATTCCCTTTTTTAAATAGATTTGTATAAGGTCATTTCAAATATAAATTTTATTTTACATAGAAGTAAAATGCAAGGTACGAAAATATTTAATACACAATTCGCTATTCTATAATCCTAGTTTACAAAATTAGTAAGCATAATGTTTATTGTATGTAGTGCCAACTTCACTCTAATCTTAGATGACACGTAATTCTATACTTAAATTCCGTTAGAATTTCATTTAAGTAATATACTTAAATATAACTAGATATAAATTCAAAATAAAAAAGACATGAGGAATTTATTCACTTCTCAGATTGAATATTGAAAAATTTGGACATTTTGGAGAATTGCATGCTTTAAGTAAATTTTCATTCGACATTTTTTGGGTATGTCATTTTCTTTTGGTAAGCAATTTTCCATTAGAATTCTTTCGATTTTAACATAAACGTTCGATATAATCTCAAATAGTGAATATTAACAAAATTTTAAATAAGTATTTAAAGTATTTCTTTTTATAGTTCAATGTGTAATCAATTTGTTTTTGAAGAATTTTTTTCTTTCTCACCCTTTCAATTTTGTTTTTCAAAAATATAATTTTTAATTCAAACGGAAAGAATTAAATTAAAGGTAACAGAAGCACTAAAAAAAATTAACGGAAGAATACACAAAATGCAGGGTTTATTTATAAGAAAAACACACTTGTGTTTAAATAATATTATGGTAAATATGTAAACATTTAAAAAAGAAAAAAATAAAAGAACTATTCATGTACTGAAGCGTGATCAAAAAGTTTTACTTGCTATACATTTTTGCTCTTTTATTTTACAATTTTTTTCAAGTTATTTTCTTCGCTTTTGGGTGGGTGCCTATTTATATTATTATAATACACTTATAAATATTTCTAAAATTGAAAAGAATATTATGTGACATTTTTAAGATATTTAACTCAAAAAGAATCACATTTCTCAAATTTGCAAAACAACAAAAATATTTGCAATAGAATCAAAATCATGTCACAAAATTTTGTTGCAATAAATCTCATTTAACTTTTTGTCCTATTTATTTTTATGAGTTTACTTTATACACTTTTTTTTATATAAATATGTAACATTTTTTATATTTAAATGTACATACTAAGCAAGGATGAGTATATCAAAAAGAGTAGTTATACCTATACTCCCAAAACAGACATTTATCATTTTGTTTTTAATAAAAAAGCAATAAAAAAAACAAGACAGATTTCACAGTTACGACGCAGGTACATTTAAAAAAATTGTAACAATTAATTGTTATTTTAAATTACCATATTTTATTTTAAAAAAAATTGACATTTCATTCGTGTCTATTATTATTTTCTGTAATAACAATAATTAATAATAATAATCGTACTGGAAAAACAAAAATAAATCTTAAATTATGAAAACAAAATGAAAATTAACCAACATATTAATTTTTTTCCTTAGGTGGAAAAAAAAGTATTACAAGTAATTTTGATTTAATTTTGAATTATAGTGTACCTATACATAATTATAACATCACGTTATCTAGGATTTTTTAAATAAAAATTCTAGGTTTCTATTAAAAAGATTGCCAACTGTTATATATTACAAATATTGCATATACTTATTTTAATTAAGGTGTTCGGAATAAATTCATATTTTAAAAATAAATTAAAACTATAAAATACAAATGAAATTTTTAAATATTTAAAATTGACGAATTAAAATTCATTATTCTATTTTTTTTATATAGGGTATACGTACGTCACATTAAAACGTTCTTATAATCTCAAATCATCATTAATTTGAAATATTTGCTCACATTTAAAAAACATATAAAACTTAATAATAATAATAAGTGTGGGTATGGATATTTAAACACTTGTTACAATATTATCTATTAGACTCTAAATAGTATGTAGTATATAGTAATCAAAATACTTAGGTTAAAATTAATAACATGGGATATGGATGGACTACCCTAAATACTTAATATGTAAATTATAGTGATAAGCACACAATATCAAATTACAATTACATTTTTCGATAAATAGGTACTATAAACCCTGAATAATTTCGTTGGCAATACTAATTTAAAATTAAAAAAAAAAAAAAAAAAAACAAATTATAATTAAATATTTAAAAAAAAAAACCTATTAGGTATTGTCAAAATTATATTATTTACCTCGACCTGTACGGCGCATAGCCGTTCATACTGTTGTACATTTTGATAATTTTCTCTTTAATTTTGTTTTGCCTCTATTCTTTTAATATATTTTAGGTAAGTATATAATATATGTATATATATATATATATTATATATTTGTATATCTTTTTTTTTTGTTTTTTGTTTGTTAATCCGATTTCAAAGCAACCACATTTAATTAAAAAGCTAGTAAGTAAATAAAGAAAAAAAAATATTTTCCTTTTTGTTTTAGCTATAAAAAAAAATAGTTTTAAGATTTCCTTATTTTCATAAACCAAAAAAAAAATAAAAATTAAAAATAATAAAAAAATAAACCAAAAGAAAACAAAATCGAAAAACGAAGATTAAATCTTGAAAAAATTAGGTAGGTATAGGTAAATTTGTATAGGTATGTATATAAAAACAAAACAAAAAATAAATAAAAATCAGGATAAGGATTGAATTATCAACTCTAAAATTAAGATGTCAAATAGATAGGTAGTGGTATGGCAGGTACCAAAGATCAAAATATACACTTGAAACGAAATTGTTTTTTTTTTTTATTCTGTTGTAAGTTTCCAAATTTTGTAAAAATTTTAAAATCAAGTAATGCTGAAAATATAAAACAAAAATAACATAAAAAACCAAATTGGTAAAAAAAAGCGCACAAAATTAAGTGTTCATGGTTAAAATAAAAAATGCATTTAAAATTTTTTGATATGATAAAAATTAAGAAAATTTAAAAAAAAAATGATTCACTTTAATTATTTTTTCATGAATTGAGAAAATGGAACTATTATTTTTCTATATATAAAAAAAAAATCAAAAATAGGAAAATTTTTTTGAATAATTTTCCCATTTTATTTCGAAGAAATATTTTTTGTTATTTAAAACTATTATTGTTGTAGCACAGAAAGAGAAAATTTTAGTATGTATTTAAAATGCCATTTTTTTCTCTTTAATTTTATACTTAATAAAATATAAAAAAATTTTTCGAAAATCTCACATTTTCTTTCTTTTTTTTTCTTTATATTTTTAATTAAATTTTATAAATTCATTCATATATAATTTTTTTTTCCATATAATTCAATGTAATTTAATTAACTTTAAAAATAATATTTTTAATCTTCGTTAGTGATTCCAGAAATACATAAGTACATATATATAAAAAAAAAAAAATTCAATATGTCAACCACGCGTCTTTCACTCTTTTATTAAACACGAACACGGGCACTCAGGCTTTTTTTTTTTATTTTAGAACTTTAGAAAAAAAAAGCATAAGGTTGACAAACACAATATTAATATTAATAAATAAGAAAAAAAAACACACATAAAAAAATATACAAAAAATATTTTTTATTTTCAGCAAAATTAATTTGATTTTTTCGTCATATTTTTTTTTCTCTCTCTCTTTTTCTCTAATTCTAATTAAAATTTTCTTGTAACTAACTAGTTAAATTTTTTTTTTTCATTTCTTTTGACTTTAAGAATTCGTGGATATTGTAAATCTCACAGCCAAGTTAAAGAAAAAAAAAAAAAAGAAAATTTCAAACTTATTTCAATGAATTTATTTTTAATTTTTTCTTGCCTACATATATAAAATTTTTTTTAAAATCGCACCTTTTATTTTTTACGACAACAACGTTTAACATCAACCGCAAAAACTTCTGAACTATTTAAAAAAAAAAAAAAATTCTTAATTTTAATTTTTCAATTCACCAAATTTTTTAATAAATGTTTCACTCTTCACTGACTGACTGAAGCAATAGAAAGATCTCTGTATATGTTATGTTCTACTCTAGTACATTTGTTATAAACAAACGTGCAATTTGTGAAAAAAGGCTGAATATATTTTTTTATTCGAATTCGAAACCAATAAACATTTTTAAAAATGCCAGATTTCAATTAATTATAGATATTATGTTGTGTTATGGGATACAAATATAGTACGAATATTTAATTCACAATAGTTTAAAAGAACTTATTGAAATTCTTATTTACGATATTCACACATTTAATTATTTATCTGCTTTATTACTTTTTTAACCTAAATAATGCATTAATTTGATGTTAATTTTATGACTTATAAAATGTAAAGATCATCAGGATGCAAAGATATACTTTAAAATTTGACTTACAAAAAAAAAAAAATACGCTTCAATGTACGCTTCAATAAAAACGCAAACACAAATTAAAGTATTGATTTGTATCCTGAATATTTTTCACATACCGTAATTGGAAAAATTTTGCGGTTATCAAATTTTGCAGTCCATCTGTGAATTCCGATTATGTTTACATCCACAACATGTATATAGAAAAAAGAAAGGTTAGAAACAATACAAACCATAATTATGAAATATTATTTTCTTGTTGCAATAAAATGTACTTCTCCAAGAGCTGTCATATTTTCTGACTGGCCGGTAGCAAAACAAATTTTTTATTTTATTTGTTTTTAAACTCATTTTAGCCCTCAAATAACTGCAAAACTAAAAATTATGTGTGACTAAATTTTCTCGAATAATTCTCAGTAACTTATTTCTTTCTAATCAAAGAAAAGTCTCCATTCTCCTTTTCGAAGCAGCATTTACATATGTACATATGTATGTATATAATATGCTTTTGCCAACATTATTTTAATTTATTTTTTTTACTATTAAGTGTTATCTTTAAATGCATTTTACTGTACGTAAACGCAAATAAATACACATTTATACAATAAATAATCACCAGTATAAATGATCCATTTAAACATAAACATACATATGTACGTGTATTCTAAATCTAAACTAAAATTAGAAAGATAAAAATTTGTTTCATAAAGTGATAAGATTCTATTCGATTTGCAATAAAAACGTATTCTTAATAGGAAAAGAAAATTGAAAAAGATGTAAGTATATTCAACTCAATATTATTTTCAAGGTACATTAAGTTAAATCAAACCGATATAATTTTATCTATTTTACCGAGTTAATTTTTTAAAGTAACTGTATAATAACGATTAAGCTAGATTTTAAATTACTTAAGTATAAATAAGCCAAATTTAAATTGAGAAAAATTGCCGATGTAATAAGAAATAATTTTGAATTTTGATTGAACTTTATATAATTTATTTACAAGTTCTTTAAACATCCAACCAAATAAGTAAATTGGTATGTACATATATATTCATAGATTCATAAACGGTAATTGTCTACTGATCTAGGCAAATCTAAATCTTGTGTTAATATAAAATAAATTTGTATTTTGAAGACTTACATTTTAGTCAAAAATATTTTGTTATTCTTTTATAACTTTTTAATGAATTATTTCAAAAAAAGAAAAATTATACAACATACGAAATTCAATTTCAAATAAGGAGGATCTATATATTTACCTACCTACTTCTCCACATTTAAAATATAACATATTTGTATAATTAAAGAATTAAACTGATAAGTAACTGTGTATAATGGAGTGTATAATGTTTTGTTAGGTTGGTTGCTATTATTTTGGGCACACAAAGTCATACTCTGGTTTGTATCATTCCGTAGAGGGGCCCAAAACCGCACTGTCACCTCCTAGTGGTGGGCCCCGGTAATGGCGGAGGATAAAGGGGTGATTGAAACGATCAAAGTTACGTTCGTGTCGTGGTCATGTCTCGCGGCGAGCCTCTTGCTTTGTGAGTTTCAGCCCTATATCTATACGTCAGCTGACGACAGGCGTCCCAAGTCAAGGTGGAACAGCATATGCCGATGACTGCGTGGCTAAGGGGGAGCTTAGTCGTTAGTATGCGGACTCTGGATACCAGGCGCCCTCCAGTTTGAATGAGCCTTCCCATGGTATGCCGGGCTCTGCCATGGGTGACTTTACTTTCCCGCGCTACTCGTGGGACAGAAATGGAAAACAACAACAACAACAACAAGACAAATAACAACAGTGACAACAACAACAACGACACTAAGGACAACATACAACCACTTAGTGCTCAAGGGTCTTCGGAACCAGAGCTTCTCTCAACTGACGCAGAGGAGGAACTCCTACTCACGCCAGTGGAGGAAAAGGCTTCGCCTCCGATGGAGACGGATAATCAGGATCCTCTTGGACCTATTATCCAAAAAACTGAGGAGGACCTGAAAAGGTTGGACATCAGGGGAAAAAAACAATATTTCTCTGGTGCATCCAAGCGGCGTATCGCGGCTTATATCAGGGATGGCATGTCCCCAGAGGAAGCTCGCAGATACGAGAAGGAAAGGCTGGAAAAGCTGAAGGCCTGCGGATCGGTTGTTGTGGCCGACCATCCCCAAAAGAGGGAAAGGTCGGAAAGCAACACCCCTGATGCAGGGCCCTCAAAGAAGAGGTCGATGAAGGGCAATGTTGAGGAAAAGGTCCCTGGGAACATTCCTCAACAAAACCCGAAAATGACTTCTTATCGGGATGCAGTAGCACAGGTCAAGGTGGCCATCACTCATAGACTGCATCCAGAGGAAAGGCTATCCGAAGTCCAGATGGGGAAAATCAAAGTAGCCATCATGGATGAAATGGATAGGATTGTGGACTCTCATCCACAATTCACTGCAGCGTTGCAAAGGGACGGATGGATATCCGTAACATGCAACAATCAAGACACCAGGGAGTGGATAACCAGTGTCTGCAGGAAGATAAAGCCTTGGGACGGTTGCGATGTCGTGGTACTGGATGGCGACAGCATGCCCAAACAGCATGTCTGCGTCACCTACGTACCAAAGGACGAGACAACCGTCAGTCTCTCCAGGGACAAATTTCTAAGTAGGATAGGGAAGCAAAATCCCAGCCTCAAGATAAGTTCCTGGAGGGTGCTGAGGATGGATAAGGAAAAGGACGGGGGCTGCTCCATCACCTTTTCCGTGGATGATTCCGGATTGGAAGATCTACGGAAAGCGGAGTTCCGACTTTTCCTGAATTTCTTCCGTGTTACCGTTCGGGTTAAAGGAAGGAAATCCTCTCAAGGTGCTGGCGGCAGGGCAGGACAAAATAAAAAACCAGTGCCCACCGCGACAACGACAACGACGAGCACTTCAGGCCAACCAAAAGAGCCAAAACTCATTGGAAAGCCTGAAGTCGCTCCGAAAATGGCGGCAAGGGAAACGGAAGGACCATCGACCAGCACGCCAAATACAAGCGTCCCGGGGGAACCAAAAGGGCTCAAGCCCATTGGGAAGCCCGGAAATGCTTCGGTATTTGCTGTTGCAGGGGCTAGCGTGGCACCTGGGGCGGCAAAAGAGGCTGTGGCAGGGCAGGCGCCCACCAAGATGTGTAAAAAGGCGAAAATGGGAGGTAAGGCTCATGTAAAGCCTTTGTCTAAAGGGCCAAAGCCCATAGACAAGAGCCGGAGGAAATAATATGGCTGTGAGGTGCATCCAAATAAATCTACAGCATGCTAGGGCATCTACTGATGTTCTGGCTCATAGATTTATGAAGGATCACCTCGATATCGCCCTTATCCAAGAGCCTTACATAGTGAAGGATCAGGTTAAGGGCCTAACAGGTGAGCTATTGTATGATAATACAACTGGGGGCAGGCCTAGGGCTTGCATCTTGTTTAGTAAAAAGCTAACGTATTTTCCCATTCCAGATTACTGTTCTAAGGATCAGGTAGCTGCGTTGGTGAAGGTGAAGTTCTGCGGGGGCTGGACAGAGTTCATTGTTTGCTCATCCTACCTCCCGGGGGACTGTGCCCACCCGGACGAGCAACTGAAGGATCTAGTGGACTTTTGTGGAAGGAGGAACTTCCAACTTATAATAGGAAGTGATGCCAATGCCCACCACACCGTCTGGGGAAGCAGCAATATAAACAAAAGAGGTGAGTGCCTACTTGAATTTATATATAGCAATAAATTAATGATTATGAATGAAGGCAATAGGCCGACATTCATAAATGCAATTAGGGAAGAGGTCCTTGACATCACCCTTTGCACTGAATTTATCGGCAGTAGGGTTGGTGGATGGCATGTCTCAAATGAGACATCCATGTCCGATCATAGGCAGATTAGGTTTGATATCATGGTCTCCGGGGGCCTGGCAGAAGAAATATATCGGGTGCCCCAATCCACAGATTGGAGTCAATTCGAAACGCTCCTCATGGATGGGATTAGATCCGTTCCTGCTTCTGTCAGAACGGTGATGGATATCGAACTGGCCAGCGAGGCCCTGACGGCGGCTATTACTAATGCCTATCACGGGAGCTGCCGTGCTAAGCCGAGGCGGAGCAATAGGAAGTGCCCGTGGTGGAATGAGGAGCTTTCAAGGCTTAGACTAAAGACCAGGAAGCTATTCAATAGGGCCAAAGCGTCAGGTTCGTGGGAAGAGTATAAGGACTCACTCACAAAATACAATAAAGAAATTAGGAAAGCGAAGAGAATCTCGTGGAGGGCGTTCTGCAAGGGCATTGATGAACTCCCCAGCAGTGCGCGTCTTCACAGGGTGCTTTCCAAAAAGTATGCTAGTAGGTTGGGCCTAATGGAACGTCCTGATGGCTCCATGACTGAGAACGGAAGGCAGACGTTGGAGCTTATGGCGTCAACGCACTTTCCTGACTCGGAGATTCTTCGGAATCACTCAAATGCAGTCATCGAACCGGGGGCACCCTGGCCCAGGAGGGATGACTGGCAACGATCCCGTCTAGTCTTCACGATGGGCAGGATTAGATGGGCTGTTTTCTCTTTCAGGCCCTTCAAATCTCCTGGTGATGACGGGATATATCCTGCATTTTTGCAGAGGGGTTTCCAACATATCGCTAGAGCACTGTTGGGAATTTTTCGCGCCAGCTATGCGTGGGGTTACATCCCTCAGGCATGGAGGGTGGCTAAAGTGACGTATATTCCGAAGGTGGGTAAGCGACCAAGCAACCACCCAAGGTCTTTCCGTCCAATCAGCCTTACTTCTTTTCTATTGAAAGCAATGGAAAAAGTGATTGATAGATTTATACGGGACGGTGCACTGGGAAGCAATCCCTTGCATGAATCTCAATACGCCTATCAGTCGGGAAGGTCTACTGTACTCGCTCTGCAGAGTCTGGTGGGGGTCCTTGAAAACTCACTGGAAGTGCGGGAGGTAGCAGTTGGCTGCTTCCTTGATATAGAGGGAGCTTTTGACAACACCCCATATCATGTCATCTGTGAGTCGTTGCACAAACGAGGGATTGATGCGACGACTAGCAGATGGGTCAATCGGATGCTACAGGATAGGATTATTAAGTCCACCATAGCTGACGATATACTCTTCATCTCCGCTGCAAAAGGATGTCCGCAGGGCGGGGTTCTTTCGCCCCTCCTGTGGTCCATTGTAGTGGATGATCTAATAGCTGCTCTCAGGGGCTCCGGGGCGCGTGTCTGGGGATACGCTGACGATGTGGCCTTCGTCGTGCGGGGAAAATTTGAGAGCACTATTTCTGATCTTCTACAGCAAAATTTACGTGTTGTGGAAAGGTGGTGCAAAGGCGTTGAGTTAAATATAAATCCAAGCAAGAGCACTTTGGTCGCCTTCACCAGACGCAGAAGCAGGGACAGATTAACGAGCCCAATTCTGTTTGGTGAACGTATTAGTTACTCGAGGGAGGTGAAGTATCTGGGGGTAACCCTGGATGATCGTCTCTCTTGGAATACCCATATCGATAGAGTTATCGGGAGAGCTACGGCGGCCTTGTGGACGTGTAGGAGCTTCATCGGGGGGACCTGGGGAATTAGTCCCAGAATAGCACTGTGGCTATATACGGCCCTTGCTAGGCCCATCGTCACCTATGCGTCGATTGTATGGTGCCGTAAAGCTCAGCAGGCGGGTGTGCGGGCCAAGCTGGAAAAGCTACAGAGGCTGGCCTGCCTGGGAGTGACCGGGGCGATGCGGACGGCTCCCACCGCTGCATTGGAGGTGATGATCGGATTGCCGCCACTGCACCTCCATATATTGAAGGAAGCTCGGCTGGTGACTTACCGACTTCTCTCTGGCGAGGACGGGGCAGGGCTAAAGTTGGCCCACAGAACTCACAGAGACTTCATTGAGGGCGATCCGATTCTAAGGATAACCATGTCAGATACCTGTCTGCCGCGGTACAACTTCGACCACAAGTACAGGGTTCTGTTTCCTGATCGATGGACGTGGGATCGGGGTGGTCCGGTACTTAGGTCGGGTTCGAGCGTGTGGTATGCGGACGGATCCAAAACGGAGTCGGGTGTGGGCTCGGGCGTATACGGTGTCCGCCCGGACACGCGTGTATATGCAACCCTTGACCCGTATTGCACAGTGTTCCAGGCCGAAATACATGCAATAGAGATCTGTCTGAGAATCAATTTGGAAAGGGGGTATAGAAACCGCACCATTTATGTGTTCTCAGACAGCAGGGCTGCACTGCTGGCGCTCCGTTCAGCTCAGGTTACATCCAAGCTGGTCTGGAGCTGCCTTGCTGCACTTGTGGAATTGGCATCGGAAAACAGAGTGATGCTCATTTGGGTGCCGGGCCATAGTGGCCATGCGGGCAACGAAGTTGCCGATGAGTTGGCGCGGAGGGGATCTGGGGCTGCCTTTGTGCAGCCGCTGCCTTTCTGTGGTCTGCCTTCTTCCGCCGTGGGGGCCAGGCTTGCCTGCCTACTCGCGGCGGAATGCAGTCGTCACTGGCGGGACACGAAAGGGTGCCGTCATGCGAAGGTGTTTGTTCCGGCGTGCTCCGGCGGATTCGCTGCGGAGTTGCTGGGGATGAGCAGGAGCCGGGTTCGCACTATTGCGAATTTCTTCACGGGGCACTGCCCGGTGAAATACCACCTGCACAGGCTGGGGAAGTCGGGCTCCCCCCTGTGCAGATTTTGTGGGGGTGGCGATGAGACCGCCGTGCACATTCTCTGCGACTGTCCGGCACTGGCTGTTCGGCGCCGCAATTGTCTTGGACATGGGTCCCTAAGTGTTCGGGAACTATTGTCCAACTCCCTTAGGGATATCTCCGGCTTTGTGATTGGGACGGGGATATTATAGACGGGAGAGTGGGGTGGCTACAATAAGTCAAAAATGGCTGCGGTGGCTTGGGGGATGCTCCTGTCCCCACTCAGTTCCCTTAGAATCTACAATCTACAATCATTCCGTAGATTGTATATGCACACACACAAATCAACATTGCTACTTGCAATTAAATAAAAAAAAGCAGATATAGAATATTTATCAACTCAGTTTATAATTACTGAAGAAGTTTATAACTCAGTTTATAAAACATGAAGAAAAACTAAAGAACCATCAAAATGAAGAAGCGAAGAAACTGATACATACTGGCAATGAAGTACCCCGTTTAAAAAGGACGAAGCCACATGAACTGGCTCATCAATAGTTTATAAGTCGTTATATATTTATTAGAGATAAAGGTGTCCTAGTCAAAAAGTATTTTTTGGTCGGAACAAATAAAAAAAAAAAAAAGTTTATAATTACAATATTAAGAATTAATGTTTAATATGTATGTACACTCGTTATTAAACATTTCGTTTAATATTATCAAATTTGATAAGTTGAGATACTTATTACTACAATCAAAATTTTTAATAAAATTAAAATTGGCTTAGATAACGAGTTTTTGATTTTTTAATATGTTTGCCTCTTAGATTTGTCCTAATGTTATCATATTATGTGTTCGCTCCTATGAACATTTACTCTGAAAATTTATTATGAACGCTAACGCTTATTGCTTTAGAATAAACATAAAATATATGTAGTTAAAATTTTCTCTATAACAATTTTATTATGATAGTGTACTTGTAGTTTATTCACCTGTTCTAAATATTTGTGTACATATTATACTCACCTACATAATACATATGTATTTATGTTTTCAAAACAAAGCCGAAAATAAAATTTGAAAACACTTACTATAAACTACCGGTATGGATGTAAATACGCTCCTACATATCTAACCTTTTCTATATGATTGTGGGTTTCCTCTTTATTTTCGAAGAAGTTTTCAAAACAAATTAACAAAATTTTATTATGATAAGTCTTGATATTGTGATATAATAAACAAATATCTTTAACCATATATGAGTTTGCACAATTTTGCAAAAGTATGTTTATTTCAATTAACCTTTAATCAGTTGAGATAACAAGAGTATCAGATCATAATAAAAATTAAAAATACTTTTTTTTACTGCCATTAAATTAATTTATTTTCAAATATTCAATACTCGTGCAAAAACATTTAATTTAAAACGTTCTTACAGTGCAAACCTAAATTTGAAATTACACACCATATTTAAAAGTTTTCGAATTAGGTTGTCTGCTTTATATTTATTTACTTAATTGTATTATAAAAAAAAAATAAAAAACAAAAATCTAAATCCAGTTCTTAATCAAGTTTCGTTCTATAAAGTCGTTGAGAATTTTTTTTGTTTTTTTGCTAAATATTATATAGATACATACATATACTATGTGTAACACACATTTAGATTCATAATTTTGATCATCATTTTTGAATGAATACGCGACAAAGATATAGGATTTGCTAAATTTTTTTATCTTAAATTTTTCAGAATATACATATTTGTGATGTTTATTGAAATTGTAATTTTATTAATATTGTTGGCTGTTTTGTTGGATTATCTTAATAAAAAAAGAAGAAATGATTTGACAGCAAATTTATCTGGACCAAAGGCGTATCCGCTCATTGGAGGTCTTTTACATTTATTAAATAGAACACCAGCAAGTATATATTTTATTTTGGAATTTTGAATACGTTTTATTATACCACATATCTTTTTAGACTTACTAGAAATGTCTTTAATAAATCGAGAAAAATATGGAAGTTTATATAAAATATGGTTATTTAATAAACTATTAATATTTGGAACAGATCCCAGAGATATTGAAATGGTTTTAAGTAGTTCCAAACTAATAGAAAAAAGTACTCTCTATGATATATTACAAGTTTGGCTTGGAACAGGTTTACTATTGAGTACCGGATCTAAATGGCATTCAAGACGTAAAATTATAACACCTGCCTTTCACTTTAATATACTGGAACATTTCATTGAGGTATTTGATCAACAAACTGAAATATTAGTGCAGAGATTGAAAGAAAAATGTGATAAAGATCCGGAACCTTTCAATATTCAGCCTTATATCTGCTTGGCTGCTTTAGATATCATAACAGGTTTTAATTCATATTACAAATTTATTAATAAAAATGTTTTTTAACCAAAAATATCAATTTCAAAACTTTAAATAATTATTAAAATTTTTTTTACAAGAAACTTCAATGGGAACAAAGGTTCATGCACAAACTGATTCTAATAATAACTATGTGAAGGGTATTTCTGAGTAAGCCTTAAATTAAGAATTGAAATTAAAAATTTAAGCAATAGATTTTAAAAATCAAATAGAAAACCAATTATTTTACTAATATTTTTAGAATTCTTAAAATCATGGTGATTCGGTTTGTTCATCCATTTTTGCGTGATGATATAATTCTTTCATTATTTCGAAATGATTTGAAAAAGGATCAAGACAAAACTATTGATATATTACATAACTTCACAGAAAACGTTATTAAAAAACGGCGTAAAGAATTAGAAGAATCTCTTAATAATGGAAATTTTAAACAAGATACCAGTGAAGATAATTATTATGGTAATAAAAAACGAATGGCACTATTGGATGTTCTACTGCAATCAACAATAAAAGGTGAACCTTTAACAAACAGCGATATACGGGAAGAAGTAGACACATTTATGTTCGAAGGACATGATACGACAACTTCAGCTATTTGCTCTGCAATATATGAAATTTCAAGACATCCTAATGTTCAAGAAAAAATCATTGAAGAAATAAAATCAGTTATCGGAACCGATACTTCGAAGCCGGTTGGTTATAGAGAACTTACTGATATGAAATATTTAGAATGTGTTATAAAAGAAACTTTGAGATTATATCCGCCAGTGCCTATGATTGGACGAAAGATTAATGAAGATGTCAATTTACCAAGTCATTTGTTTAGATATTTGGCACAATATTCAAATTCAAAAAAACTTATATTTTAGGTGGACGAATAATACCTGCTGGAACAAATTTTACGATTAACATCTATGCGGCACATCGTGATGAAAGTCGTTTTCCAAATGCAAAGAAATTTATTCCAGAACGTCATGAAGACAACTTAATTGATTCTGGCGATGCTTTTACTTTTGTACCATTTTCAGCTGGTCCACGAAATTGTATTGGTCAGAAATTCGCTATGCTTGAAATGAAAAGCACATTATCAAAACTTTTAAGACATTACGAATTACTTCCTTTGGGACCAGATATGAAAGTAATATCTAATTTAGTTTTAAGATCTGGAAATGGGGTTCACATTGGTATTAAGAAAAGAATATTTTGAGTAAACGTATTAAATGTAATAAAAATAAATGTAAAAAATTTATTTTGTTATACATACATATATACATACACATAAATTTGGAGCTTTTTTATATTATTTCAAATTTTTCAAGTAGTCAATAAATATTTAAAAATACATACATAAATATGTGCTCTAAAATTTTAATAGCATAGGTATGTCAGGAATAAAAATTTACTTACGTTAAAAATAAAATTGTAAAATAGGTTATTTTTGCAAATGTAATAACAAATTTGATAAATCGACGTAGCTTTTATTTCAGTACTATCTATTTTATACAATTGCTTCACGAAAATTGTTGTATTAAATTCTTAAATTAAAAAAAATATGAAGATTTAAAAGAAAATTAATTTAACCAGAACAGCCTCTGCATCCGCAATGAACACATTCAACAACGCGACCTTCTTCTAATTTCGATTTTGGAACACGGCATATGCAGTTAGTTCCAAAATTTGTATCTCTAGTTTGTATACAACGCAGGCAACATAAGTTTTCATATCCTGATTTTTTCCATTTTGCTATAAGATTAGCATCTGCAATTTTTTCTCTAATACAATAATCATACAATTCGCGACTTATAGCTTTTCTCCTATAAAATAAATCGTAAATATATCGAGTCTTTTGATGATGTATTTTAAATATCGGCCATAGTGATTCATTGATACGCTTGCCTTCATGTGGTTCAGTTTCGGCTAAAATTAAAAACTTAATTAAATAAACTGTGTATCTTGACATTATTTAAACAATAAATTTATTATATACTTATTTTTGTGAAATATTTACATTATTTTTATTAAATTAATATTAAGGAAAAAATCAAATTCCTAAATTTGATAATACACAAACCTTCTCGCATTTTTTGTTCTAATTCTTCTAATGTTGGTTCTATCAATTCCCAACCATCTGGAGGTGCCTTTTTGCTTCTTCTTACTTTCGGCATACTATTTTCTTGTTTTCTGTTTTTTATAGAAGTCAAATATTATGTATAATATTTAAAATTTAATAAAAAATTGTTTATTTTTAATTTTGTATCTAGAATGAAATGACTGATGTTTATAAATTAAAGCAGGAATGATACAATTTTTAATTTCCAAGCAAACAAAACGTCAAATAGGAAATACTCCGATGCACTAACTTACCCAGTAAACAAAGATATGCCAAAAACATTTTGACATGTAATAGATTTCACTTCAAAAATGATTTTATATTTTAGTATTTTTAATTATTTTAGACTAGTTGTATGACGTTTTACTGGAAAAGATAAAATTAAAAGAATTTGTGTTCATTTCATTTTGCTTTGATATTTGTTTGTTAAAAAAGCATTTAGAAGTACAAGATTCCAATATTGTGATTTTTATAAAAATTATTAATATAATGGAATTAAACAGCACGAGTTCATGCATAATTTGTGAAAAAAACGACAATGTGCCTTTATTTTACGGCGATTTTCTAAAGAAATCAAACATTGGAGCTCATTACTTTTGTTTGGTGTGTATACTTAAAATTTAATAAAAATTTAATTAAAATAGTTTGAATTTATACCATAATAATTTATTTTTAATTAGCTTTTTTCGTATAATTTACAACAACTTGGTAAAGATAATAGTGGTATACTCGGATTTCAAATAAAGGACATCAAAAAATATGTGAAAAGTATTAGAGACAATGTAAATAAAGATCACGTTATATTAAATTTAAAGTCTACCTCATTTTATTTTAGGTTTGTATTTATTGCAGTGGGAGAAGTGCGTCAGTAAAATGTTACAAATGCGAAAAATATTTTCATCTTATTTGTGGATTTGAAAATAAATGTCATTTTCAGTTTATTGGATTATTTAAGAGCTATTGTCACCTGCACATTCAAATTAAACACGAATATAGTCATTTAGATAATCAATCATGCGGTATATGCCTACAGGTAATGGGTATTTATCATCCTGTGCTATCAATAGCTCCCAAATGTTGCGCCAAAAAATGGTTTCATAGATCATGTTTAATGGTATAATTTAAAATAATATATAAAAATTAGCAAACTCATTTAAATAATCGTTAGCGATATGCATTGTCTGCCGGATATTATGTAAAATGCATGTGGTGTCAGAAAAAAGAGTTCCGTGACCAAATACGTTTAGATGGCATATTTGTTCCTGATCGTGATGCTTCTTGGGAAAAAGAACCTAACGCTTATTCAGATTTACACCGACCACACAGAAAATGTGTTGCAGAAGATTGCTTATGTCCAAAAGGGAAAGAATATAATAATTCTAGTTCTAGATTATGGGCTATAATTTTATGTTGTATGTGCGGGGCTTATCCGTTGCATGTAGGTTGCTATCAAAGGTTGTAAATACTAAAAATATATTGTATATCAATTAGAGATTGTTTTATTTTTAGCTCAACTGGTATGGTATCATCTGATTTTGTATGCAATGACTGCCAATTGATCAGGACATATATTTCTTTAAATGCAGCCCCTTGCGATATGAATAACGCAAATAAAACTCAAGATTTAAATTTAGCTGAGGATAATGTGGAATTATCACAATTGGATAAATCGTTATATCTAGTAAAAACACTAAATTATGACGACTTTCAGACTTATCACGACAATCGCAGTACAAATAGTACTAAAGAAAGCCTTAAATGCGGGATCGATTCTCAAAATAGTGTAGCTAAGATATTGCATGATACTGTTTGTAACAATGAAAATTTTGATATCGCAAATAGCATTAGTAGCAATTCATCACAAAAAATAAATTTAAAACAATACTTAGATGGGTTTATTCAGACTGATAAACAAAACGCCAAAGTGCATGGCTATTATATCGAACACGCTAATAATTGGGTAGAGTTTTGTTTTGAGAAAGAGACTCTAAGAGGAACTATCATTGGGACCTTAATTTCCCCGAAAAGTATAAAATACAAATATTCAATTGATGAAATAATTCCAAAAATTATTAAGCTTTATGGAAAAACTGACTCATCTTCAGATTCCGAAACTGATGTGGAATGTGAAGAAATTTTTATTTCTGTTTTAAAGGATGAATTGAAAAAGAATGGAATCTCAACTGAAAATCTGCGGAAACAAAAAATTAGAAATAAGGTAAAAGTTCGGAAACACACAAAAAAATACTTCTTACAATCGCAGAAAAGGGAAAACCTAAAAGCAATTGTAACTGCAAATAGTTTAAAAAATGATAAATTAGACGAAAAATTTGATCTAGACAAAATCAAAATAGAGAAATTATTATTTTTTGAAACTGAACTTCATTCCGACTCAAGTCCCACAGAAAGTGAAGAAGAATTATTTCAAAAAATTTTGGAAAATGAAATAAAAAAGGAACAGTTATGCATCAACAATCAAAAAGAACAGGTACGGCGCATCAGTTTTTGACGATGAGCAAAAAAAACTTCACAGATGCATTATATTTTTTTACAAATAATTGTAATATAATTCAAATTAAAATTTTATTTTTTAAGTTATGAGTACAATTAGTTTAAGATGAATTTTCCAAAATAATTGTCCGTTTTCTAAAGAGTTATTAATTTTCTCAAACATCTTAATTAATAATAAAAATGGTTTTTAAGCCAATATAGTATAAAATTGTGAGTAAAAAATTAAACTGATTAAAAATTTTTAAATTTCAATTTAATTAATTTTCCACTTCGAAGTTTTTGACATTGCTGGCTCTATCATATTAGTTTTATTTTTGTAGACGCAAACCGTTTTTTTTTTCGCAAATTCAACTTTAGTTCCAATTTCGAAATACGCGTTCTCTTAACCCTATAAGAAAATCGTGGATGTAGAAAATTGCGCATTTGAATGAATTGCCTTAAAGTTCAAACACCTACATAGCTTAACAACTTGCGTTCAAACTCAAAACCTTATAAATGGTTTTAATTTTCAACATTTTAATTAATATTCTATAGGTACTTTACTAAATAAGTCACACAGATATATTTTCAATCATCTGTGTAACCAAGATTTTGACAGTTTAACGTATTTCATAACTACAGATCTTTCCAATCTTAGATAATTTTACGTTATTAAAACTTTAAGAGCTTTGAAACTTTGCATAACCGTAGTTTTTTAAAGTTAAAAATATAATTTAAGACATTAAAAGCAAATAGACAAATTTTCACAATATTTTAATTTCTTTAGTGTGGCTAAAAAACTTTTATTTTTTGTTGTCTTTCATTTTATATCGAAATAGCGCTGGTTGTTAGTCCTCTATCGGAAAAACTGCAAATTATTTGACATTTACAAATGTCAGTATTTTATTAAGAAATGAAAATATTTTTATTTTTTGCAAATATGAAAGACTGAAATTATTATTGAATAATAACAAATAAGGGATTTTTTTTTTTTTGGAAGAATAATAAACTTTAGAAAGAAAGTACGAAAATTCTTTTGATTGAATTTATTAGAAATAAAAAAGTAAAAATTGAAAATTAAAAATTAAATTTGAGAGCAGGAAACTATTCCCTCTCCCTTGCAATTAAAGTGAAATTAATATTGGAAATTCTTTTAAGTAATGTAAGTTGAATAAAAATTAAAAGTGGACAAAATTCACAGTAACTTTTTTTTATGTAATTGTTACAATATTACTTAAAGCAATTATTTTAACAAAGTAAATATGTATATTAAAAATTTATAAAGTAAAAATATATACGTACAAGGTTGGTAATACACATTAATGGCTATAACAAATATTTGAAAAACCAAATCATTTAAATAAATTTAAAAATACTAATTTTTTTTTGTTATTTTAAATTTTAAAAAAATTTTAAGTTTTGGATTATTATGATGCCTAGGTACGTATCTATTCGTTTGAAATTGTTGGGGGCGGAAGAATATGTACATTATAATTATACAGCAACAGGGGTACATACCCACTTCATGTACACCTCTATAATAATGACTATTAATGTTATTATTATTTTTACTAAATTATTGTTATTATTATTATTATTGCTTTATTTAAATAATGATGTGCTTTTTTCCCTATCATAATGTGTAAAACTTTAGTAATAAAACGAGAAAATTTTCTTAATTTAATAGATTAAATAGGAAATTGCGATCGTTTTGACAATTTATAAAAAAAATTTGCGTTTTTGATAAGCAGTGATTGAATATTATCGTATTATATTTTTTGAATTTATAATTTAAACGAGGAGGAAGCTATATTATTGCTTATATCAAAAAAAAAAGTTAAAAAATAATAATGTCGGTATAGTAAATAAGTAACCTACCCATCTACTTGCAATAAACAATGTATTAATAATTTATAACTTCAATTATTTTTAGTATTTATTATTGCTTATTTTCAAAAATAATATTTTTTTTAAAGGAAGATGCAACCAGATAACGAAGGCAACTTACTTGAAATTATTGATTTAGCTCATACTTTGCGACAGGAGCAGTTGTTTATACGACACGAACAAGAATCATTTAATAATTTAAGGAAAACTTTTGCAAATAATTCTGCTAAAATAGCTCAGGTTAATTGAAAAAAAAAATAATTATTTAAAATTTTTTTAATATTCATACAATTTTATGTATTCTATATTTATTGTAGCTTGCTTGGGTATGTGCTCAGCATAAACAGAATCTCTCTACATTGGTTGTAACACGGAAAGATATCGATCCATCAGTATGCTGTAATAGGGCGAATCGTTTAGAACATACTAGATTTGTAGAAGCACATAAATCGCAATCATTAAAATATGAACATGTTATTTCTTACGGAAAATTATTTGATTTTTTATACAAGTCACCATATTTACTAGCACAAAGTTTAGCAGCAGGTGATCGAATATCCAAAATATCAAATGAACAAAAAAACTCAGTTGTACATACAATTGCTACTGGTCTTTATGGAAATGTTATTCATTCTAAAGATATAGAAATGATATTAAAGTTGCTTAGAGAATTAATGGAAATTCAAATAGTGATAAGTGATAATCCACGTAAAACTCTGAGAACAGGTTGTTCTGCTTTCGCGAGATTGTATAATCGTTTGTTGGAGTCATTATTTTCAGCAAAAATTTTTTTAACAGCTGCATTGTATGAACCGATAATGAAAGTACTTATCGAAAGTGAAATCGCTTTGGATATTGATCCTTTAAAAGCTCTAAGTAGTTATTCTTATAAGGAAAAATTGAAAAGGTTGATATGAAAAATATTTAGGTAATTTTTTCAGTAATGTAATAAATAATTTAAATTTTAGGTTTGGGGAAGAAAGTGATTCGAATTATAACGCAAATATTGAAAAATATCGCAACGAGACAATTCATAATCTATATGTGTTGGCAAATTTTTTTTTAAATTCTCTAATTAAAAATTGGCCGCTTTTTCCATCAACATTACGTTGGTTAATCCAAACAATGTGTCACCAATTAAAACAAGCACATATCAATGACAAAAATATCAATGAAATATTAACAGATATGGTTTTCACACATTTTATATGCCCTGCAATTGTAAGTCCAGAAACAAATGGTATTTCTGATGCCCCTATATCAGAACAAGCAAGATTCAATTTAATACAAATAGGACAAATTATACAAATGCTTGCTTTAATGAAATATGAAGATGTTGATCCAAAATTTAGTGATGTTTACCAAAAATTTGATGTAAATATTGTATCAAATCTCTTAGAACAATTACTAATAACTGATAACGGAGAAGTTAATAGTGTTGTGGCGATAAGATCTCAACAAAGTGATTTTGAGCGTGCACACGTTTTGATGACACACAAAGAACTAGTTTGTTTGGTTGAGTTTTTTAAAATTGTAATGAATGATGAAATGAGTATATCTGAAGAAGACAAAAGTAAGTTAAACAAAATATTGCATGACTTACCTGATAAGTTCGAAAGTTCGATGAATGGCGACAACATAGGATCAAATTACACATCTGTATCCCCGCATCATGAATCCGGTAGCCGTGCAAAACAAAGTTTACTGAACCTTGGAAAGAGTACGAAAAACAAAATAGCCAAAACAATAAGTTTAAATATAAATGGAAATGCTTATAATGACAATGATGTGGACAATTGTTCTTCTAACACCAATAGCAATGCAGATGGAATGTTGAATTCGAATGGTACTATCACTAATGGAAATTCTATTTTTAATGAAGATAATGAGCTTGTTCTTGTTTTCGAAATATCAATATCGGATGAAAATAAATTTCAGTTACTAACAGAAGAGGATTTTTTAAAAATGAATAGTATAGGACAGGAAATCGATGATCCAGCTCTAATAGAAGAAAATATTGAAAAACTGGACAAAATAGATGGTTATAGCGATCTAGTAGTTAGCGGTATACGTCCGACACAAACTAAAAATACAAGATTTTCATTATCACATGATGACGCATCAATTGGGAATTCTGATAATTTAGAAGCAGTTAGTGAAGCTCCAAGCAATCATTCGGTTACAAGTTCTTTAGAATTGGAAGAAAACGATCAGAATGATAATCTTTCAGATATGGTTTCAGCTAATGTTTCTGGGCGAGGTACGCCTAATATATCAGGTAGAGACACCCCATCGTCACAAGTAACTGATGGTGATAATACCGCCCAGATTCCAAATCCACAAATGGCAAAAATTATTAATAAAGCCCGATCGGAAATAGAAGATAAATTTTGTAAATTTGAAATTAAAAAGTTAATTGAAGGGGATGAAACAGTTTCTATAATATCTGATACTTGGAGCACTGATGTACTCGCAAGTGATTCTGAAACTTTAGATGCTAATGAGCGGGATAGAAATTTTTCTACACCACTAATACCTTCTAGCGTTGTTTTGCCAGGGGACAATAACTTCGATGTTTTAAGCAGCTCAAGACCGCGTGGTGGAAGTGCAGCTTATATAGAGATTTCTGAAACTAGATCCGAATCGGCATGGAGCACAGATGTTTTAATTAGTGATTCAGAAAAGTTAAATGAAGTTGATACAGATGACAACTTAAGTATTACTGCAAAATCAGATATAACTGACGCAGGTGGTAGATCTGAGGGTGAACCCAGCAGGAGTGATTTAGAAAATTTGGGTAACGCTAACAATAGCGGAAATGAGATTGATCGTGAGGGCGAACCTATTATTAAACCAAATCGGACCCCGGACTCCCCCTATTTTGCTCCACGTACTAGCTCAAACTTCCACCACACGCCAGATTCTCCTATCTACGTTGTAAGAGAAAACGTTGAACCTCCCTTCTTTCCTTCAACAAATTCTTATGAAGATCCGAATCGTGAAGCGAGTCGATTTGCCAGTCCTGTTTCTTCATTAGCCAGAAGTTCCGCTCGAACTTCAAACCAATACTCGAATGAAAACAATTTTCAGCAGAACTATAAGAGCTCTGGTGTTGATAAGTCAAATTTCTTACCTGTTGCATCTAATGTAAGTAAAATGAGGAGACAAAATTCGGCTGAAAGCAGTATTTCCAATCAGAGTTCTAACTTGGATGACAATTTCGAAAAGCCATATTCCTCTGACGTTAAAATCAGAAATCATCATCGAAAAGAAAAAAAGGAAGCCGTAAGGAACTCTTCTAAGGACTTGATAGACTTTAGTGATTACACTGAACAGGATGGTGCATACGGCGTTACCGTTGACTGCGATTCGAATAGTAATTCAAACAACAGAAACAAATCTCAAGATCCCTTTAATTTTTATGATAAGTTTAGTGAAGAGCATGTTATACATCGCCGAACGTCATCAGAAAACCGTAACGCAAGTTTTGATGGCCGTCGTAATGGAATGATGGAATTTAGAGCTGGTGACTCTTCAAATAAATCGAAGTCCCGACGTCATCAAAGTTTGAATTATGAAAATCATGAAATAATTATCAAAAAAACGACAACACCGCAAAAGGTTGTTGATTTGCAAGAGCCATTGAATGGGGAATTAAATATATCTTTAACAGATGATATAAAATCTCAAAATGCTTTAGTTGATGAAATGTTAATAATACAAAAAACCGAGGCACTAACATTGGATCAAGGTAATATTGAAGATAATAACCAATCTCATAACGGGGTCTGTATTGACATAATAGAGCCTTTAGAAAATGATGCGGGTCATAACACAAATGGAATCTCTGGTAGTGGCTTAAAACCTTCGAAATCCACCGGAGCCATTCCAAAAAGCATAAGCTTTGATGCATCTGCTGACAAATCCTCGAGAAACTCCAATGCAAGGCGTATGAATGATCCACTAAGAACAAGCTTTTTTACAAAAATTAAACAGGGATTCAAGAATCGAAGACAACATAAATCAAGAAATCATGATGAAATGATTTCTAATGTAAGAAATGTTTCATTTGGTGTCATATATGATGGAAATAGTGATGAGTTGAAAATTCGAAATGGGATTGATTGTTCATTTTCTATTACGGGAGGAGATATGACTGAAGATATTTTAGCCAAATATCGAAGGAAAGTTTCAACATCAAGTGAAACAACAAATTCTGATTCAACTGGCAATAGTTGTTCCGTAAATCGAAAAAATTCCGATATTGAATCGAGGTTAGGCATATATTTAATTAAAAAAATATTTTACACCTACAAAATTTATATTTATGAAAAATTACAGGCCAATCAATGGTATTTTAAACGACAAAATGATTGCATTTCTTCATGCAAAGAGGAAAATCCGGACAGTTCTGGCAAAAACAGATTTGCATACTGGGGATTTCCGGCATACGACAGTAAGCTAGCCCTTTTCAATACATATGAGTTATTTATCAATTATATTTTTTATAATTTTTTACATTCTGTTTTTACTTTCGAATAAAAGCATTCAAACTCATCGCCTTTATTAGTTTATCTACAAATTCAATTGGCTCAGGCATTGAACTTGCAAGATTTTACTCAAATATCTTATGTTTCTGAAGCAATTAGAACATTAAGTTCTTTGGATATGTCACAGCATGTAAAATTAACGGAAGAATTACAGGGTGATATATTAAAACGTCAAAGTTATTTGCAATATTTAATGCGATATCGTCAAAATTTACTTTCTACAATTGAAAATTTAAATCAATTTCGAAATCGATTACGAAATGATCAACAAATGTGCAATCGTCATCTAATTTCTGTGTGTGTTCGAATGTTTTTAGAGAAACGGGAACCATCAATTGGAAAATTTCAAACAGAATTTTGTAAATTAACAGTAGTTGATGAGAAAATTGATTTATTGCAAGAATTTATTGATAATTTAATAAAAGAACTCAAGTTAGACGGTTTATTATTTAATATGGTCGAATGGCAATTAAATGAAGCAAAAATTTCAATTGAAAGAATACTTTTACAGCGTTTATATAAGCATGTTATGTTTCCTAATGAAGATGGAGATATTTCAAGAGATAAGTAAGATGCATATGTTTAGTTATATTTTATACATTCATTTAAAACAATGTTTTCTTTTTAATTTAAAGAGTTTTTCAAGAACATATACGTAAAATACAGAAAATCATAACGCCTCACCATAAAGCCTTACGCATTTCGGATGAATATTTAAGTGAAGCACCATGGCCATTTGCACAAAAGCAAATAGTTTATATATCGGCATATAAAACTCCGGCAGAAAAATTTGAATGTATAAAAAGGTTGATAATATTTCAATAATATAAATTACGTAATATAATATAAAATTAAAATACAAACATTATAAGTTTGTGTAATGCAATTTAATGATTTAATAATTTTTACTAAAACTAAGAAAAATAATTATTAATTTAAAAAAATTTCAGATGTATTACAAGTATTATGAATTTATTATTGATGGCTTGCGATCGTATTCCAGCAGCAGATGATATAGTACCAGTTTTAATTTATGTTATAATAATGGTAATTTTGAAAATTTTTGAAATAATAAATTCTTTTTAATTCATAATAATCCAATTAGGCAAATCCACCATATTTATTATCAACCATTCAATATATTGATTGCTTTATTCGTAATGAATTGGAAGGTGAAGATGAATATCAATGGACACAATTTTGTTCTGCAGTCGAGCTCATTAAGACTTTAGACTACTCAGATTAGACTTAAAGAATATAATTTTTTTATTTTTTTTTCTACAATATTTTAATACATATGTTTTCATTTATTTTTCTTTCTTAATAACAAATAATTAAAAAAGAAAATAAAAAAAAAGAAATTAAACAATAAAATAGGAAACAAATAATGGAATAATGGATTGAAAAACATTTAATAGCGGTGTTTTCTATAATTAGAAAATATTATTACGAATATTAGAAATAGTGAAATTAAAAGATTTAAAACAATAATTAGATTAATAACACAACATATTTATACAACATAAATATAAAAAAAAAATATAGTTTTGGATAAAAAATTATTGAATTATTAATGGTAAAATTAAGTAAAATCAAAAATATTCATAAATACTTTCGTTTTGTAGAGAAATTAGAATGTTTTTCTTTTTTTTAATTGGATAAGTACCAAAAAAAAAAAAAATTAACTAATATATTTTTATTACTGTATGGAAAAATTGCGAAATGAATTAAAATTTATATAAATTATTATTATTCTTATTATTATTATTATTAATATTATTATACCAAATAGAAAAAAAAACATAATTAAGTTGTAAAAAAGTTATTTAACTTAAAATCTGCTAATATAAATTAAAATAAACATTAAAAATAAAATATTGATTTTTATTTAACGTTTAGCATTTACTTTAGTGCGTAAATATAATTTTTCATAAACTTACAGCTAGTGTGACTAACTTTATAAAATTAGGACTAAAACTGATTTTTTTGACATAAACTGATGTATGATGTATGCTGTATGATTTAGGAGCTTGGTAACAATTTACTAAAGCATAAAATGTTTTAACTTCTACACTTTATTCCAATAATACTATACAATATTAACGATGTATTTTAGTTTTGTATATTTATTAAATCTTGTTAGAATAAGTAATTCTACAAAATGTAATTCAATTTTAATATTCGCATATTCCTTACAAAATATTAAATAAATATTGAACAATTTTTGAAGCGAAAATATTATAAACAAACTTGTGTATTAAAAAAAATTAGAATGCACATACTACAATATGTCATGTTAAAATGCATATGCATACATACATATAAATGCATATATATATATACATATCCTTAATTTAACAAAAACACACGCTAATTCAGATTAGAAAATATATCCCAAACATACACATATTATGTACTTCCAAAAATTTCTTAGGAGAAAATCATTTTAACATCATAAATATTTAGAAAAAGTAGGAGGATATTCTTATAATTTAGCTTAAGTAGTTTAGGAAATGAAATGTGTTCGTGTGCTACTTATAACTTAGATATATGGTATGAAGCATATGATATATTTGAGTGTTTACAAATAAGGAAAGTGGGCGGAAAATTGTTAATTTATTATTATTTAGATTGATTTAACTTGTTAACATCTTTTCACCTTAAATAGTTTATGATACTTAAAATTGAATTTGCATTCCCTTTTTAATTAATTTTCAATTTAGTAGTTTAGGAAATGTAACATGTAAGGGCATAACAATTCAATTTTCATAATATTTAAGGACACAATTACATATGTATGTATTTTTAAAATAGTATATTAACAAAATTAGTTATTGTATGAATTATAAGATCACTTACTTACTATTAATTCATCAATTGAATATTGTAATTTATATCAAGTAAGCTAACCTCTATAATTTTTCAGTTTATTAAGTACTGTTTAATTATTGTTTTATTCCAACCAAATTATCACAAAATTAAGAAAATTGCTTAATAAGAAATTGCCCCTAAGAAAGGAAACTGAAATATTACTATAAAATTTATTATTTAAAATTAAAAAAAAATTAATTTTAGATGCACATTTTAGATACTTGAATATAACGAATAATTGTGCTAAGCAGCTGCATATTAAAAAAAAAAGTTTTGAATTTATTTACAAATTGTTCAAAGAAATTCACAAAGATTTATAAATTTTTTTTCCAGTCGCTTATCTTTATTTTTGATAAATCGAAATTTTCAGCATAAAAATCCCACCCACATAAACAAAAATTTAATTTTATAATTTAATTTAAATTAAAAAATCGTCATAAAATAATTTTATAATCATTTACAAAATTAAAATTTTTAGAAAGAAATATTCAATTGAAGAATTTTTAGAAATTCATTTTAGATATTAAAATTATATACTATTAGTAAATTATAGGAAGTTTATAAGTATACTAAGCATATTTAGGAAATAAGAAGAAAATACTAATTTAGGGAATTAATATAGAAGTATGTGTTTCATGCACAGGCTATTAGTTACATGATTAGTTGAGCTTTGCTTATGTTGATGTTTTTAATCAGGCGAAGGAATACGTTTGATTCATAAAGCATTAATTTACAATTTGAATACGTGCATAATTCCTTAACCCTTCATTTGCAATGTTAATTATTTGTAACTTTTTAACACAGCTAATAATACAAACTGGGCCATTCATTGACTCACAAAATTTCATAATTTTGAAAAAAAAAAAAAGATGTTTAAATTTTAATCTAAAATATTTTTTAAATTTTTTTTTTAATTATTGAGCTTAAATTAAAATATTGTTAATCATAAAACTTGCAGAAAAACAAAAAATTATCAGTTTCAACCGGACAGGTTTTAGAATTAATCGTATTTCCCGTATACCACTACATTATTCAAATTATCCGACAATAGCGAGCATTATAATAAATAATGTTCGTTGCTCATTCAATAATATCATAATAAATACGATAATAAAATTAAAATAAAAATGCATAATTTACAAATATTGAAAAAAAAATTCAAAAATACATACTTATACTCCTCCTACAATACTTAAAATGCACTTTTTAAGCCCACCCTTTAAAAATAAAGAAACAAATAAGGAAAAGAATCGAAAAAAATTTTATTTTAAGCATATTTCAATTGCGAATATCAATCAGCCAACCAATAAGAATTCCTAAAAATAGATGAATATAAAAAAAAAAAGAAGAAAAAAAAAACTGTCTCTTTTCATTTTCATCATTTTCAGATGATCTTCATTGCTTTTGATCTTAGTGAAAATCACATTTAAGTAAATTAAGTTAAATGAAAGAGAAAACTTGTGCAGATAGATGTAATATATACACATATTTATGTGCCTATATAATGTTAACTATAAAATTATAATATAAGGCAAATTTGAGTGATCTATGCTACTAAAGGATAACATTAGATTTGAAAATAAGTACAGTATACCATAAAAAAAATTACAATAATTTATTAATGTTGAAAACTTTCAAAAATTTTATGTTTATGAATTAAAATCTTTAAGGCAGGTCTGTTAGATTCTTTAAAACAAATAATTAAGCTCATATATATAAATAATATATCAGTCTTGTTAATAAAGAACGAATTAGAAAGGAATTGTAATATTACTTAATATTCATCAGAATCACATTGTGCCTTACATTGGAGCCCATTTTTTTTGGGCTCCAAACTTTACTAACTCCCCACGGTTTCCTTTTCCTTCTCCCTTATATGATTTTTAATTTGTCTCTTTCATGCAGTATAAAGATAATTGATACTTGGTCTAAGAAATTCATCTGAAAAAAAAAAATAAAAAATAAACACTAAATAGAATGAACTTTATTCATTAAATATTTTAATTATAAAAAGTGGTGTTTTTTTACAAATTCTCAACTTTGTAAGAATTCTATTAAATGGATAGAATTTGTAAAATTTTGTGTTTTCATTATAAACATCTAGTTATTTTTGTTGCTTTTAGTTGTAATACAATAAGTAGACCAATAGTGTTAGCAATAAACTAATCAGTTTAAATGGTAACATTAATCGCCAGTAGTGTTTCTATATGTGCACAATAAAATGACTTCTACGGTGTCATATGTAATTTATTAGATCTGTAAGTTATAATGTATTAGAGAACTAAATACATAAAAACTAAAATCTTTTTGATTATAAACGAAAACGACATTAGAAAGAGATTAATTATGTATGGACATAAATTTTTTCGATCATCCACTTTAGTTGTATAGATAATTTTATTATAATTAGGGTGTGTGTATGCATTTACACCTTCTTCCTTATACATAATTTTTAAATTGAATATAAGCAGTTTAAATGAAAATTTTTAATACGTTTTCAGGGAAAATGTTTTACAATTTGTGGTTTTTTTTTTTATTTTTATTAATTTTTGTTAAAGAGGATATGCACATTTATTTTATACACGTATACTACATAATGTGTGTATAAAGTATAACACAAGCCATGCACTTATTTATGTACATATGTATATAAATATGTTATATGAGCCTATATATAAGAAATTGTAATATACTCAATGACTTCGCTATATATCTTTGTGATTTTATATCTTTTCTTTAACTCGCATCATAAGGCACCAAAAAAATAATGTTTTCATTTTATAAAATAAAATTATAAAAATAAAATTATATTTTGTTTGGTTGTATTTTTTTTTTTTGTGTTTTTTTGAAAATAATTTCAGTAGTCAGTTGACGATTGAATTGTTGGTTGTTCAACATAGGCAATTATCATTCTAATTAAGTTATTGTGTGCTAATTTAATTAAAAGCAAAACAAGAAAGTAAACAAATAAAAAAAATTAAAAATATATATTTTTTTTTATAATACAACAATTTTCATTTTTTAATAGAAACCAATCTATCTTAAAAAGAACTTGAAACTGTCGCAAAAAATTAATTTTGATAAAAAAAAAATAAATAAAAAAATTTAAACAAATTTTTCTTATTTTTTTTATAAATACTTGTATATTTTAAAATGAAATGAGTAGAAAACAAAATAAATAAAAATAAAATTTTAATTTAAGAAAAATAAATAATTTCAAAAAAAAAAAATAAATAAAACAAATCAAATTCCATTTCAAATTTAATTTAAAATTTTCAAATGAACAGAGAGCAGCTACACGCGACCAATAAAAATTGATCAATTTTGATTTTAATTCAATTAAATCGCAGAAAAAGACAAGAAAAAAAGAAATTTAAAAGTCGCGACTTAACAATTTCAACTCTTTAATTTTTTAATTTAATTAAAATTAAATTTAAAAAATATCCATTTTATGTACAATTACGGTTAAATTAAGTTTTTATGTTTATAGTTAATTATAATTAAAATTAAATACAAATTAAATTTAATTTTATTATTTTACAATTATTTCTATAATAAGTATATGATTTAATTAACAAAAAAAAAAAAAAATAAATACAATATGTTAAATTATCATCAAAATGACAATAATTCAAATTGTACAACTTCTGCGCCATCATCTCTAATATCGAAAACAACAGAAATAATACCAGTACAACCAATTGGTACAGGACCGTCGCCATCTACATCAACAATTGCTTATAATTTTTATACAAATAATAATAATAATAATTTAAGATCTTCAATAAATCATCATCATCATCAACAACAATCGGAACATCATATACAACAACAACAACATCAACATCATCATGATCATCAACAACATCAAAATGGTACGCCACCAATAACATCTAATAACAGTAATAATAATAATAATCAAAATTTACAACACAATAATGAATTAAATAATAATGAAAATAAAATGCATAACAGTAATAATAATAATAATGATAGAAATAATTTTAATTGTAATTATATAAATAATAATCATAATAATAATAATAATGAAAATGCATATTTAAATATAACATCAAATACATATAATCAATTAAATGATAATAATATTAAAAATAATAATACTAATAATAGTAATAATAATAATAATGATTTAAATAATCAATTTTTAATAAAAAGTGATACAGATAATGTTAAAAGATTTTCAGTTAATAATTTATTACAATTAGCTGCTGGTGTTACAAATACAAGCGACGGTAATTTAAATAATAATAATAATAATATTGTGTCACAACATAGACAATTTAATCATCAACAAAATATTGATATTATAACAAATCAAAATAATAATAATAATAAATGTAATAATAATATTGAATTAAGTAATAGTAATAACCGTAATAGTAATGAAAATAATAAACGTTTAAATAGCAATAATAATAATAATAATCGCAATAACAATAATTGTCATATCAATAATAATAATGAAGAAATTGAATTACGTAAGTTATAATTAAATTATATATAAAGGAAATAATTAATATATTAATTAATTAAATTAAATAAAAATAATATATATACATATAAATTTTATTAATTGTATAATTATAATGTAATCTAATTACAATTTTTTTTTTATTACATTTTGTTTTTACTATAATTTAATTGTGAAAATTATTTATATAATCATTGAGTTGAGTATCACTTGATATCTTTTATGTACATCAGATGTACTGCAAAAATTATTTATGCTAATAAATAAAAAATGCATAGTAAATGAAATATGCGAATATAGTTTATATACAGCAGCATTTCCGTGAAGCAATTTAAGATATAACTTTACTTATGGAATAAAATCTAAGTATACTCACTTACATAAAAAATGAAATTGTGCATTTATATAGGTACATTCAATATAATTTCTAGTTTTAGATTTAAAAAAATTAAAATAGATATAGATTAAATAGTGAAAATGAAAACCCTTTGAAATAACAGGCTGTCTTATTAAAAATGTTGCATATTTTTCGGAGAGCTATCAAAGAAATTATTTTGATAGTTCTACTACAAAGAAAATTGATTTGGTGATTAATCGAAATTAAATTGAGTTTATAATATCAAAGAAATAATTTTTCATAAAAATTTATCAAATTTTAGAGGTAAAGGAACGAGGTAAATGTTTTATTTTGTTTTAACAATAAAGTATAATATTGTTAGATAAATTATTAAAATGTGAAGCTTATTCAAGTCATCTTTGTTTTAAAGTGAAATGACTTCAAATCTTAAATAAAATTGATGTATAATAATTAGGGATTTACTTGAAGTATAAATTCTACATTCAGAAAGCTGTTGCTTTTTATTTTATTTTGAAGATATAGAAAAAAGAAGTCATCAATTTTTTTGTGTTTGTAAATTTTTTAATTACATAATACTGTTTACGATTTAAAGGCGTTAAATTGTAGAAAAATTATTTTTAAAAAATTTTAGTATTTAAACCATGACTAAGGCAGATACATTTAAAGAATTTTATTCCAGAGAAATATTTTTTTACTAAAATTTATTTGCTTACAAAATAACTGCTATCCATTTTCTTAGATGTAAAAAGTTTTTTGAAACGAACACATTAATAACAGACAGAGCAAAACTGATAAGGACATTTTTAAACGATATAAACTGGCTTCTCGTCTTGAAAATTAAAAATAATTATCCACTATCATAAAAATTTAATTACAAAATTATATAATTTAATTATGTTATTCCATTTTGGGATTTTATCATATTTTTTATGAATGAAAACAATAGTTTGTATAATCTTTGATGAATTATGCTCATGATAAGCCTATGTGTTGTAATAACAATAACTAACAAATTTGTTAAATGAGAATAAGTAATTCTCACACATACATTCCCGGAAGTATTTTATCCTCCGTCGGCTAATAATATTATGTATGAATAATTAAATTTAAATTGTGAATTATATCATGCGTGTTTACCCATGTAACATTTATAGTTACCATAATACACACTTAATTATACCAGAATATATAGTCAATTTAATAATTTTTGAAAATTTATCGTGATTTATTTAGGCTTGAAATACAAATATTACCTAAAAATTTTACATTAATTACAGTATTTATTATACAGTACATTAATGTTTTGAGTACTTTAGCCGTAACAAACAACACACACACTATGATACAATATCGTACCTTTTATAATAATTTTTTTAAGGTCTGTTTATAAGTGATAATAATTAATAAAAATTAAATGATTTTCTCACCTCACACATAAAGTCAAAATATTTTCCCATCTTAACGTTAATTAATTTTTCTCAGTTTTAATTAATTTACGAAATTTTTTTTTTCAAATACAAATCTGGATTATTTCAAAAAAAAACAAAATTTTTATTTCAAATTATTTTTTTTTTTTGTTTTTGAAAAGGTTTTCATGATTTTTATACCCGCAAGAACTTACGTTCGAAGGGTATACTAAATTTGCCTTACCGTTTGTAGTGTGTTTTTTTGATCAGCGTCGAATTCTGAGTCGAATCTGTTCTTCCGCCCATCCGTCCGTCCGTCCGTTCCAACGATAACTCAATAACTAATTGACCTAAGTTCACCAAATTTTTACAAATGATTTATTATAGTAATATCCAATCTAAGTAGGGTTGTATACCACAACTATGGTATACAAGATTGGATATGATCGGGATACTAGTTCGGGTAGCTGCCATACAACTTTAAAAATTTATTTGGCAATATCTCAGACACTATAAAAGCTGCAAATGTGTTTGATAAAATTCGTTGAAATTGCTTGGCTCTTTCTAATAGCTGCCATACCACTTCAATAGTAGTTTGGCCATATTTTAGAAAATATTGAAAACACAGTACACAGAAATTTTGCATAAATTAATATGGCAACTCGTAATACGGCAACTTAAAGTCATAGTCTGCCCCATAGTCAGCTATGACATATTTATTTGCTCATAGGATAATAAATTCGTACGGATATCACAAAGTTGACACGGTCAACTCTATTTTTCTCGTTTTTTCTTATGTTATAATCTTTTTAATTTAATTAAAATGCTTATCTTAAAAATATTTGTGAAATATATGTATATTGTTAAATTTCTTAATAAAAGCTAATTATTTACGACATATAGGACTGAGTAAAATAAATATTTTTGGTAATAATCTTCTTAATCTACAAATGTTCATTTGAATTATAAAAGTTCTATATAGATTTATGTATGTTATAATTAAGCGAACTTTAATCAGAAATAAATTAGTTTGATATCAAATATTAGGATATTAAATTTAAGATTAATTTCTTAGGGACGCTTCTCAAATATAATTTGAAGGTCTTAGAATTGTTGATTTTTTTTCGTATTACATATATAGGTTTCCATTCTCTATGAAAATATTTAAATATTATATTATGTCACCTTAAGCAGTTCTTCATTAATATCATCAATTAGAGAACTTTATAGTTATAGCAATTTTCATTTCTATAAGAAAATGTGTTACAAATTTGATATACAGACTATAATAATCCTTTTGTAAAAATGTATTAAAAGTATAATTTTACTACCTTAATAGAAATTAAAAATTTTCATGAATTTTATTAGTCCCATTGTTTCACTACTTAACTATTATTTAATGCTGTAAGGAAATGATCCTATATATACCTAATTGAAAATTACGTAATTTTTAAGAAAAGAAAAAATGTTTAACACGTTTAGTCCATTTCTTATATCGTATTAATTTTAAATAGCTGAATTACTTGAAGAAAACTGTGAACCTGCCTAGCAATTTTACGAGTACTAGTTGCTTACTTACATATATATATTCCATTATACTTATGACATATTTAAATTTCAAAAAATTACTTTTAATCAGAAGTTAGTTTAAAAAATTTCCCTTACCATTAAAAAGAAATATTAAAGTAATAACACTAATAAGCTGATACGTCTCTCTAAAGGTATATAAGATTCCAAGATAATTTCAAAAAACAAAAATTAACTTTTAGCTCTTATACAAACTTTTATTAATAAAAAATTAAGTACTTATTTATTAAAATAATTATTATTAAAGTTTTTCCATTCTTTACAAAGAATTAAGAAATATTGCGAAAGAAAATTTCTGCGATCGTTTTATAATTGCCATACTTAACTTGAATTCGATAGAGATTTTCAATATTCGTCAATATTATATACGAATTATGATCGAAATGAACCGATGATAATTCTAATTCTAGTTATTTTGATCTGAGGGTTAAAAATATGTATCCATACTTTAAATTATGTTTGACTTAAAAAAATGAAAAATTTTAAGTGTCCTCCATACTAATAAACTTTAATCCTTACTAACTTTTTTACCATCTTCCTTTTCCTTGCCCATTTGCTTGGCAAATCTGTTGCACAATAGTTTATACTCGGCCTAAGCAATTCTTCTAATTTTTTTTTTTTTTCCTTTGTTCACTCCTAGAAGGAGCATAGGGCTAGTGCATAATTTCTCATGCACTAGTTTCATAGCGTCATAGGGTTTAACTACGTAGGTGACTAGCCTGCCGTAGTTTTTTTTTTTTTTTTTTTTTTTTTATTTATATTAATTATTTGAGGTTATATTAATATTTACTGTTTATTTTTCTTAGTTTTTTTAATATCGAATATTAGGAATACTTGAAAATTACTTGTATAATATTTTTATTAGTATTGTATATTAAGTTATAATAATATTGAATATAATTTTTATAATTCTTCTAATAATAATAATTAATTGATTCGTTAGATCGTCTACGGCGCATATTTTTAGGAGCATATAATTGATTGTTTTCAAAACTAGTTTTGGTTACTTTTAAATCAGTGTAACAGCCAATTTGTATACAACTTCATTTTGCTCTGCAAAATTTATAATTATTAATGAATATAACTAATAAGCCTGATCATTTAGTTTTCTGGTACCTTTAAAATATCCAAAAATTACTTTATGGCAGCGTACATACATATAATAAAAAATATGAAACATTTTAATTATTATCATTTAATGAAGATGCAATCATAACTAAATCAAAAATTTCAATTTAATGTTCACATTTTTTTTTTGCACAAATTAATTAGTGCGAATTATTAAATCATCTAAATCCGCATTATAGTTACAAAAAAAAAATATGTAAACGCATAAGTAATAATAATAATAATTTTTTATTATGTCATCATATACTCGTATGCATGTATGTTGAGTAAGTAATTTATTCCAAAAAAAAACAAAGAAGGAAAAGGAAAATTTTATGCAGTGTATAATTGTTTGAAAGACCATATTTCATCTCAACAGGATTGTCGGCTCATTTTAAAGTCAACGATGCCTATACATATATGTGCCTTGTATGCCTTGTATATGTCATAATATTAAAAGTATATTTTTTGTGTAAAACAAAGATATTATACGCATAAATATTTTCTGCATGGGGGAAGATCTTTTTGATATTAGCGTCATCAAAACAAAAGAAAAAAAAAATTATGAAAAATGTGTCATTTAGAAAAAAAAGAAAATCATATTATGCAAAAATTACATGTAAAATTATGTCGGAAACTATTAAAAATTTTCATGACAATGTTTTTGAATCAAATGTTTCTTATATATTTGTAAATTTGCTGTCATAATATGAAGGAATAAAATATTAAAACTGATTTTATATAAAATTTTTTTTAAAAATTATGTTGATGATGTCCTTGAATATCTATACAGTTGATAAATTTGGAATGCCCCCAAATGAAATTCAGATAATTAAAAATTTTAAGGTTAAATAATTACAAGTATATATTATGATACAGGTATTAAATTAAATATGAGGCTGTTTACACATTTATGCACTGAACGTATGCGCCTATAGCACCACTTGCAATTGAATTATTTCTATAGCGCCCATCAAAATTCATATAGCACTTATTAAATATGTAATAAGAAGATTGTAAATTCTATTTTTTTGCGGCAATAATGAATTTTGAACAGCAGTTGTAAGTCTTTCAAAAAAAATGACTATATTTTATTTTAGGACTAAAGTTTATAATAAGTATTTTATTGTCAAAACCTTTACGAAGTATGAGAAGATTTTCATATTCAAATTCAGTTTCAAAATAGAATATGAGTGAAAACCTGAATAATTGTATGTAGTTTAATTCAAAATATTAAAATATTATAATAAATATTGTACTTAAGATGTAAAGCAAATAAATATTTTAAGCAAAAACACATAGTTATGCATAAAATAATTAGGCTGTTGAAATATACAAATCAAATATAATTCTAGTTTGAAACGCAAGTTTTAAATTTTCTATAAAATTAAGAAATAAATATCTTGAAAATTTATTTTTTGTATTATGAAAGTTTCTAGCAATGAACATGATTTCCAAAAATTAAATATCAAAATTGCTTAATATAATATAATTTATATTGATTGAATAACATAACCGAATGAGTTGTATCTTATTTGTGAATGTTTTTGTAAAACAACATCCTTTTAACAGAAAATGCAACATTAACGTTAACATTAACCTAGTCTATAGGGATAATAGTTGCTTAAGTCTTAAATTTGTAATTGTTTCTATACAAAATTTGTAATCTGCAATTATGTTAACTAATAAACACTCTATATTTTACTGGGTAATTGAAATTATACTGCTAAGTGATTAAGTTTCACAGCTTTTGAAATGATTACTAATTGCAAATCAAAAATAAATTGGTAAAATAAATAATGAATTTTCTTAATTTCTGGTCGAATAACTTACATACGTTATTGTGAACACATGTATGTTTAATCAAAAATTTATAACACTTACAAAATATTTCAAAGAAGTCACGGGGACTACAATAATATTTTTTTTAGAATCGTTTTAAATTTAAGGTTCCCATTTTCTCACATTGTGCAAAATAAACTTTCCTGGACTAATACGTTTATTATCTTGTATTTTCTTAAACTAATAATTTTCAATATATGAAAGCACAATCAACTCTGAAAATGATCACTAATAATATGTATAATTTTTCATACTTATAAATTTATTAATTTCCAATTTATTTAAAAAAAAAATGCTTTTCATTTAAATCAATAAAATATGTAAATAAAATATTTGCAATTTAAAAATTTAATGAATAATTATTCAAAATTTTTATTAATAAAATAGAGAATGACCTAAGATGAGATCTTTTATGAAAATACCAGAAAAAAGAAAAGAAAAACTCAAGAAATAAATACAAGTGTTTCCGATCAAAAAAAAAAAAGGAAAAGTCAATGTTTTTTTTATTATATCATTATTTTATGTACATTTTATTCAATATTCATTTAGCATTATTACTTTTAATAATTTTATAAAATTAATAGCCAATTTGAAATTGAACAAGTAATTCTGAAAAATTATCATTAATTTAGTACTTGCCCGAATATTCTAGCAAACTGTTCTCAAAATAAAATATTCAATTATATTTCAGTAATAAATTCATAGATACATAATTAAAAATTAAAATGAATTTTAAAATTAATTTAGCAATTTTTTGTGTATTTTTTGGATGCTGTAGTAATTTATATTTTTTGGAAAAACTTATTATAATTGATCCTGGCTCTGGAAATTTAATAACATTTTTACAATTTTTATTTATTGCCTTAGAAGGATTAATATTTACAATGAAATTTTTTACAAGACAACGTAAAATACCATTAAAAGATTATATTATTCTTGTTATAATGTTCTTTATAACAAGTTTATGTAATAATTATGTATTTGATTTAAATATACCAATACCATTACATATAATATTTCGTTCTGGTTCTCTAATAACAAATTTAATAATGGGAATATTTATATTAAAAAAAAATTATAATATTATAAAATATATTTCAGTAATAATGATAACAATTGGTATATTTATATGTACATTAATGTCTGGATTACAAATAGAAGAGAAACATCATCATCATCATCATCATCATATTGAATTAAATGAAAATCAAATAAAAAATCAAAATGTTTTTAATGAAAATGGTGAAATAAAAAATGAATTTATAATGAAAAATGATGATAATATAACATCACAATATTCAATACATTTTTGGTGGATTATTGGTATTGGATTATTAACATTAGCATTATTAATAACATCACGTATGGGTTTATATCAAGAAGTTTTATATAAACGTTATGGAAAATATCCAAAAGAAGCATTATTTTATGCACATTTTTTACCATTACCATTTTTTGGTTTAATTTATAATAATATTATACAACATTTTATAATTTGTTCAAATTCAATAAAAATTTTAATACCAATTATAAATTATTCAATACCAATTGCATGGTTATATTTATTTGGTAATATTTTAACACAATATATTTGTATTAGATCAGTATATATTTTAACATCAGAATGTTCATCGTTAACAGTAACATTAATTGTAACATTAAGAAAATTTATTTCATTAATAATTTCAATAATATATTTTAAAAATTTATTTACATTTTATCATGGTATTGGTACAACATTTGTATTTTTCGGAACAATATTATTTACAGAAATATTTTATAAAAATAAAAATAATATTGAAAAAAGTAGTTTTACAAGTGGAAAAATTAATGAACCATTTGAATCAAGAAAAATGATTTAATTATTTAAATAATTTATAATTTTTAAAAAATAATTTAATATTCATTTATCTAATATGTTAAAATCAAGTTAAATTTAATAATTTTAATAAGGCTTTTTTTTCATAAATTTCATAAAATTCTCTTCAGTTTATTTACTAAAACTATTGAAACATGTTATGTATTTATTATTATTTAATTTAATTTTACTGTAATAAAATATTTTATATATAATAAATTTCTTTTTTTGTCAGTTTATTAATTTGATGTAAAAAGTAATTATTCTAAAGTTTAATATTTTTTATAAAATAAATTTAAATAACTGTTATACAATATTGGAAATGTTAATTTGACAAAAAATGACATTGATTTCAAAAAATTTATTGTACTTCCATAATTTTAATTTGAAAATTAATTCAGAAACATCTCGAATTTTAATGTAAAAACCTTATGTTGACTTGAACAAGCACAAGTATACGTACGTCCATTTTTGGCCTGTGTTAAATTTCAAATCATTCTGTAAAATTTCAATTAAATTTTTTTGAGTATACAGTTCCTGTTGAAATTAAGGAAATATATTCCTGGAAATCGGTTAATAAGGAAGTGGAATTGTTTTTTTTGTATATTGAAAGTGTTGACAAACTTAAATATATAGTTGCTTAAACTGCACATTTAATACTACTTTTCATAATTTGCAATCAATTGCAGAAATTAATAGTCATTTGTGGATAGTTAATGATTTTGAGTTTTTTCTATAAGATAAAATTGACCTAAAATATTAGACGACAGATGAATAAGGATGTCAGCTTAGAATTTGAAGGGGAATATAATTAAGTATTAACAGGATTAATAATTCTCTCGCAATATTCAAGGTATGCAAGGTGTTATTAACGTGCTGCCGTATATCGATCCTTATTTTCTTTTTTTAATTATTATAATAATAGCTTTCTTGTCCAGGATGCCAGTTATATGATATTCTATATTTTTGTATGTATTGTTGTATGTATAGTTACATGATATTCTATATTGTTATGTATGTAACAGTATAACAAATACTAAAACAGAAAATGAATTTATTTATAGCAGTTTTAAACCAAAAAGAAAATTTTTTCAAAATAACTACAAATATTTTGAAAAAAAAAAAAAATCTTCCTATTAAGGCAGAGTTTATTTGTCGAAAGTGTTATATATACATTATGTACATATGAATATATTTTAAAAATATGATATATTCAATAATTTCTAATGTCATATAAAAATGTTTCCTTATCATTAATTTTCCTATAAATATGAAAAAAATTAAATAAATTCTATTTTATTTATACATTTCTAAAATTCATAATTATGCAAGCAAATAGTAAGTACATTATTGCAATAATTTAACCATAATTACCCATAATTTATTCAATTAGCATAACAGTGTCTTAGTGTTTAACTATTACAATCTCTTCTCTTTATTATTTTCACTATATATTGCACTTTTATTTCTTTATACTTATGCACTTCTATAAAATTAAATTTGTTTTTTTTTTTAAATGCATACTTGTAATTTTTCTATTCAATTTTATTTTATTTTCTTTTTTAAAGAAATTATCTGTGAAGCATTTAAAGACTCATTTGTCTTAATTAAAATGATGAGGCATGAGAAGGAAAACGAAAAAAAAAAATCTTAGAAAAACCAAGTGAATTCCAAAGGGTTTTCTTTGATTTGTCTTGTTTTTTTATGTTTTCCCTTTTTCTATTTTCCTTTTTTTGAAATTTTCTTAAATATTTTAGTTTTTTATTATCACAATATCGCACCCAATAAAAATTATCATCAACTTTTCAAGTCAAATGGAAAAGTGAATTTTTATATTATGTAAGGAGTTTTCAAATTTTTTCAATTTTTTATTTTTTTTTTCTATTTACATACAAAATTTTACATCAGTTTTGTAATTCTCTTTTTTAACAGAAAAAATAAAGAAATAAAAGGGACTTCTTTGGAGGCCTTTCCGTCCGATATTGTTATTTTAGAAATGCATATCCCGTCAATGTATTTTAAATTGTTTTTAATGATGTTTCTTTAAAAAAAAATTGTTCTCCGTCTTTTTTATTGCTATAGTCTGTACATATTTTGTATTCATCATTATGTATGTGTATTCAATAAATAAGAGAAATGGAAATAAATTATATAATAAAAGTATAGTAAGTAAGTAGTACTCTTTTACAGTTGCAGATGATTGTGATAATGTTGTATATAGTACAAAAGTAATTTTACAGCGGTGAAATTTTGAAATCTCAAAGGAATTGCAACCTTTTTTTTTGTATCATTTGTTTTTCTTATTTTGTATTTTTTTGATGATTTTGGTTTTGTTATATATAAAGGAAGAAAAAAACATATATGTAGTATCATTATGTTTATGGGATATGATTTGGATTTAATTGAAGTTGACATGCGGCACCAGTGAATATTATGGCATACCAGCACATATGTTTAACATTTTTAAGAATAAAATGAAAATGTTTGTCCCTATAATATTTAAGTATATATGAAATGGTTTGTTTATGACCAAGAATTGGTATATACAAAATAATAAAAAAAAAGTTTTAATATTCCTCTGGATTAAGCCAATTTTACTCGTTTAAGTTTATCAATAATCAAAATTAAACAACTATATACAATTAATTATATATATACTTATCATTGATTGTTCTTCGGCATTTTATTATAATTGTTGTTGGGTAAAGTTAAATAAACAATTAAATTAAAAAATCTACTTCGAAAATGGTTAATACTCAATGAAATTAGTTTATTATTGAATTTTAAAAGTAGCTGAAATGAGAACTTGCTTTGCAAGAGCTTCAATATTTAATTAGTTTTTGCATGTGTTATTCTTAAAACAACAATGCATGTCCCTAATATTGGTACACTTAAAAATACGCTGCATTTGTAGTGCAATTACAAAAATCGCCTTCTGTATATCACTATAAACTATATATACGTGAATATACAAAGCTATTACTAAAAAAATTAGTAATTACGTCATATAAAATGTATAAAAGTAATTTTCTTTTAATTATACTTTATATGTCTTAGGGTATTTTGCCCATATAAGCGCAATATTATTAAAATTACCATTTTATTGCAATAAAAAATAAGTAATTAGTATAGCAGAAACAATTAGCATCAATTAAATCTAAAATATAAATTGTTTAAGTCTGAAATTTCTTTAAGCGGAATAAAAATCCTTGCTCCCTAAATATTTCTTAATCCTCAAAGCCAGATTCAACTGTATGTATATATATATAGAATTTCCAGCTATCCGACCTCACCAAGTTCTCGAAATAACTGTATAAGGTTTAAAATTTCTCTTTATTGAAAAGTGAAAGGGAGAATAAAAATATAAAGAAGCAACATTTTTTTTTCGTTTTTTCGGAAAATTTTCTTAGAAAATCCATAAAATTTTCATTCACATAAAAGGACATTCTTGCTCTAATTGATTTTTGAAAATGAGATTTTATAATTTAGAGCCTTTTTTTACTTTCCATATTATTTTGTATGTAAGTATGTACATATAAATTTGTATGAACGGAGATGTAGGTAAATTAAATATAAGACAAATCAAAAGGAAAATGTAAAATAAAACATAAAAATTTTTAATGACTTTTCCTTATAATTTCATGATATTAAAATTTTAAAAATTGCATACTTTTTGTATTAATATAAGTGAAAAAATTAATTGAACACGACACTAAACAGTCCTTTCGTTAAATTTCTCTGTATTATGTGTTATGTATGTATGTGTGTGTATATAAATATATATATATATGAATTGTGTATTGTATATAAAATTTTATAATTTAATAATATTTATAAGAATTTGTTTTAGCTATCTACCATAATGTGAATCGTAAATCAAATTATACTTACGTTGTGTTACATACATTAAATGATCATTTTAACGACCTTGTTTTAGTTAATTGCTAAGATCGTAAGACATTTAAAAAAAAAAAATCTTTTTAAATAGATATTTATTATATTAAAACCATTAAATTATTTCAAAAAAACTTTCTCACTTTTAATAATTTTGAATTATTTTCTATAAAATATAGAATTAAATACAAAAGCAAGAAAATGTGGTAATAAAAAATTTAAAATTTTATTGTTTGATGCCATTAATATTTTATAAATGAAAATATTAGTATATTTTACGTATGTATGTATGTAGCTAACATAGGGTTATTATGGTTAAGTAAATAAACAATAAATTGATTTATGTATGCATGTACAACAGATTAAGTATATTTTAGAGCAAAGACAAAAATAATATACCTATTTATAATAAATCGAACAATAAATTATTTTGTATTTATGTTAATTTTGTAGTTTGGTTAATTGGTTAGAGACAGTTTGGGGTATTGGTTATTCAACTTCAACTTTTATTTTATATGATGGGATTAATACCCCCTATTTCTATTTTATGGTTAATTTGAAAGTGACATAATATATAGGTAGGTAGGTACATCAGTTTATTTACCTACTTATTTAAAATCATCTCCAAGGCAATGACAATGTTATTTACTTGTTATTGAAAGTTAAGTTGTTAGACACAAAAATAAATATACTAAAGCAAATAACCGGTTATCAGTATAACCAGTTGTTGGAGCAACATTTCATTTTGATTTGAAATTGATTTAGGTAACTTTCAATTTTCCATAATTATCTTAAGTTTAATTTTTACTCATGCAACTAAATCTACTTTGAGGGCTTTAAAACTATTAGAGTTAAGTGATCAAATCATGTTATTGATGTAAAAATGGCTATTAAAATAATTCAGTTCTTCCCTAACTGCCTGCCTACGATAAATATTCTTAAGAGAAAATTGTGTTTTTTTTTAATATACAGATAAAAATGGAATTTTTCTGTTTCTTCCTTAATTGTTAACGACTAGGATAAATTACATAAATATGAGAGTAGCCTACACGTAGTAGATGGCTACACACATAAATCAAATAGGCACTTACCTTAATGAAATTAAATGCAACTACATCCATACAAACATACATTTGTACAATACATTATAATGATGTTAAATTAACATTATAAACGATATTTATTAAAATAATCTTAATATAAGCTTTTCACATATTTGCTTCTCATAAAATTTATATTATAATGCAGGTTCTATTAATTTTTGTTTTAGTTTTAATTTTAAAATTTCAAAATTTTTAATGAATTTCTCACTAAATAACATAAAATTAATATAATATATTTTTAAATATCACTTATCATAGGTACATTCACTGCATTTTATTATAAATTTCCATTTTTAAATTTTCAATTAAGATTCAGAATAAGGGAAATATGAAAAAAGAATTTTTTTTTCATATTAGCCCTCTATTACCACAGTATCAATAATTTGATTATCTTTATATGTATTTTCCTCTATAAATTACAAACTCTTTATATTCAACCCTAAAAGCACCAGTTTTTTAACATCTAAAAATAAACACTTTGATTTTTTATATTTACGTTTTTTATGAAATCTAATAAAAAAAAAACGAATGATTTTTTTAAGAAAATCTTTTACCATTTAAAAAATCATAAATCTTGCACTTGTGTCATAATGTCACATCAAGAAAAACATTTTCCCGCTTTTTTAGATTTTTTTCTTTTTGATTTTCAAAAAACAAAAAAAGTTGAAGAAATAATAAAAAAATACTATTATATAATCTAATTAAAATGAATTAACTACTACATTTTATAAAAAAAAACATATCCTTAGGGATTACAAAATTATTTTCAATTTAATAAATTTCTTTTAACTAAATTAAAATAAATGTGAAAATTCAATTTCTAATTACAATATTCTTACTTTTTTCTTTTAGATGATTCATATGAATCAATTTCGTCAACAGATAATATTGGAATAATCGGGGGTAATTGTACACTTTCACCAACATCAAAAAAACCAAGACGTAATCGTACAACATTTACAAGTCATCAGTTGACTGCTTTAGAAAAAATTTTTGAAAGAACTCATTATCCTGATGCTTTTGTAAGGGAAGAATTAGCAAATAAAGTTGGATTGAGTGAGGCTAGAGTACAAGTTTGGTTTCAAAATAGAAGAGCAAAATTTCGACGAAATGAAAGAATTTCAAATGGCAATAATAATAGTCACCGAAACACAAGTTGCCTAACATCACAACCTATTCCAGCAATTAATAATATACATAAAATTGAGAAAAATTCATCTAATTTATATGGACATCAACAAATGGATTTTACAACGGCGGCAGCAGCAGCTGCAGCTGCAGCTGTACATCATCATTCAGCACATCCATATCATTTAGGTTTTCCAACTGGGTTAAGTATGTTCTCATCATCGACAGCACCCACTCCAAATGCAAAATCTTATTCAAATTCAGTTCCATATGGTACATTTGCAAATGATCCAGTAAATAGTTCAGCATGTTCTTCTTATTTTAATTCAAATTATTGCTCAACAAATTATCAAGCACATCATGGTTTTGGTAGTGTATCAGCGGCTGCTGCTGCTGCAGCTGCCATACGATATAAAAGTCAAGGATTTTCAACTTTGTGATTTCTTGTCTACGTTTTAACACTCACATACATATTTTTAAATGCTTAGGTATTTAATTTAAAATAAATCTGAATAACTTGTAGCATTTTTACCTTTTAGCTAATTTGTTAGTATTCTACTGAATTATTCATTTTTAAATAGGTATAGTATTATGAATTTTACGAATAAATTATAGAAAAATTTAAGAATCAATATAATAAAAAATTTATATTAGTTTTTATTTTTTGCATCATTTGAAACCCAGGAAAATTTTCGACGTTCAAGATTACGGTTGTGGTAAAACGGGAAAATTCAGTCATAGGGTTAAGATAAAGTGAAAATTAGAAAGATCTTACTGGTTAAAATGAATGTTGTTTCATGGACTCCAGTAAAACCTACCCGAAAAAAATAAATACTGCCTACAATAAAAAAATTCATGAGTTATTAAGACTAAAAAACGTTGTGAAAACAAAAATTCAAATTGATTTTTTATATTATCCATGTATGTATGTATTTATTTTAAAGATTCTATATGTATGACATTTTATCGAATAACAAAAATTATTTTTACAAAGGCTGATATATAGATTTTAGATACAAAAACACACGAGTAATTTAATTAATATTTTCAAATACCTACTATCAATTTTTATACATCAATTTTACTAAATAAGAATTTTCATTTTTAAAAAATACACAGTACAAATTTCTTCAATATCAATAATAAATTTACTTTTTATAACATAAATATTTAATTTAAAGCTAAAATTAAGAAAGTTTTACTCTGTCTACAGAAATAAAGTTAAAGTAAAGAAATTATGTATTGAGCGATATTAATTGAAGGCGCAATTCCAACGTATTTAGAACATTTTCTTTTTCACAGCAGTATATCTTTCCTGATAGGCTTCATAGCCTTCAAGACTATTGAATTCTTTTGGATTAAATAAATTTCCTTCATATAAAATATTTGAAATTTTTGATTCAATCAAAATTTTTGGCGAAAAAGCTTTTGCTTGCAGACAATTTTCTTCCAAACGTAGTGTTTTTAGTTTTGGACACAATGCTATGTTATCAGATAATATAGATATTTGATTTTGATTACAATTTAATTCAGTTACATATAAATCTTTTACTTCATTTGGTATTTCCACAATTTTGTTACGTGATAAATCTAAAACATCTAAATGTGTTAATTGACAAAACATTGTAGGAAATTTTGCTAATTGGTTATTGCTCAAATTAACTTGTTTTAAATTTTTCAAATTCGCCATTGATTGTGGTATATTTGTTATCATATTATTCATTGCTATAAATACTTCTAATTTTGTTAAGTTTCCCAAGATCTCCGGTAATTCAGTAAGACGATTTCCAGATACATTTAAATGTTTGCATAAAGTAAAACGTCCAATTTCCTCAGGTAATGTTACAAAACGATTTTCAGATATATCCAAAGTTTTTAAAACATTTGGAAATGTTTTTAATTGGGGGGGGAAATCTTGAAGTCTTTGTAACGATATTTTTAAAACTCCAGTCTTTTGGGCAGTTTCCAAATGTTGTTTTATCTGTTTATTTCCCATTATGAGAAACTTTGTATCTGTTATTCAATATCTAAAATTATAAACCATTGGCTGAATATATTTTATGACAAATTCTAATTTTCTTCTTTTATATATGCTCCCAGTTGTGTGTGCTTTCAAATATTTCTAATTATTTTTCAAAAATTTTGTAAATTACTTTTTAGTTTTTTTTAAATAATTCCTAGCACTTTTGCTGTAACATGTTATATGCTAGAAAATATCTTATATTTAATAAAATTGTCAAATAAGAAATTATTTTGCTTTTTATTGCTGTTGTTTGCTTGTCACAGAAGTACCATGACTAGTTATGAGAGGTCACCCATTCCCATTTGAAGTTTTGAGACATCTTGTGGAAAAAAAATGAAATAGCTAAGATGATTTTGAAGTGCAAATTAGTATATTAAATACAAAACTAAAGTTACAAAATTCTAATATTATTATTAAATATATTTTGTTGTGAAAATAATTATACTTCATGTGAGAAAATTAATTTCAGAATGAATTATAAAAATGACAAGAGAAAGGGTATTTCGATATTCTGATAAATGAAACTACATAAGTCATTTAATGAACGATAACAATTGTTATGTTCTAATATTTTAACTTACATTGTATTACAGTATATATTCTTTATTGATGGCGGGTTGTTATTGAAAATTTAGGAATTCCACAATGATATATATACACATTTAAATATATTTCACTGATTCTTTAAATTTTCATCCCACTAGAAAACGTTGATTAATATTGATGTTTAAAAGTATTTAGAAGAGATTAAGCTGATAAATTACATAATATATTAATTTTCATTTACTAAAATTTTATTTTGAAAAAAATATTATTTTTTTAAAATAATATTTTAGTTATAAATAATTGCAAATAAAATTAATATAAGACATTAATTTTTTTTTAATTTTCAAAACATATTTTCATCTACTACATTATTTTTGCTTAATCTTCTACAAAAAAAAATTATATATTAATGTAAAATTGTACAACAAAAAATATTGAAAATGACATTCATGACATTGGTCAGACAGTTAAACATATGATTTTATATAAATCAAAAAAAGCATTACTTTTGACATTTTTCTTTTGAGCATGTAAATCAGAAAATTACAAAAAAAAAAGTAGAATAGAAAAGCTCCGATTGTATTCGTCCATCATATCATCGCCAATTCTATCAAATACTTATATCTTGTATTCTCGTTGTACTGTACTGTAAAAATAAAATATGACAATTCGTGGTCGGCTAATCCTATTTTGACCTTTTATTTGGTCGAAGTTGAAAAAAAAGTAAAAATTTTCTAATTTTTTTCAAAGCATCATCTTTATAAAAAAAAAATTTGATTATTTTTTTATTTTCAATTGGCAAAATTAAAATTTAATAAAAATTTTTTGAGTTTTTTCGGAATAAAAAAACCGAAGAGTTATAAAAATTTATAAAAAGAAAAAAATTCTTATTGAATTAAAAAAAGAAAAAAGTGAAAAAAAAGAAAACCATCATCCTCACATCATGTGGATCACAAAAATACGAAGTGAAAAATTACTTTTTCCAAAAGATTTTCAACATATCAGTGTTAATTTTGTTTCTTAGATAATATTTTTTTTTATTAATTTTGAAATTAAATTCTTTTATTTTTGTAAAAAAAAAAAAACAAATTTTTTATAATTTTTGTCGTTTTCAATTTTATTTACCTACTCTGTTTTTTTTTTTCCTGTTACCTACAAATTTTTTACGTTCTTGTACGAAAATCATTTTACTTTTTGTGTTTTAAAGAAAAAGTTTTTGTTTAATTAATAAAATAAAATAAAAATTAAAAATAATTATTGTTATAAAATGGGTTGTAATAAGTAAAATATAATTATTATTTTCAATATATTGATTTGCTGCTTGAAAAAAAAGAAAATTTATTTAAAAGGAAAAGTCAGTCGATTTTTTTTTTAATTTTTTACGATGAAAAAATATTTCTTATATGTACATACACAAATCTATATTTAAACATAGAAGAAAAAAGAATTTTTTTTTTGGTATGTATACGAAACAACAAGGACATTACCACGTAGTAAACTGTTGGCTGGCTCCAATTTGTTAAAGCATACCTATACATAGCTATACAGCTACAATAAATTTACATACATAGATACATATTATATTGTTCGTCCTACAATTATTTTCGTTATCCTGATATACCAACTTATATGTATATGTATATAACCTATATTTTCATTTTCTTCGATAATTATTGAAAAATAAAGGAATAACAAAAGAGAAAAGTATTAAATGGAATAAAAAAAAAAAATTCGCTGTTTCCTTCAATTAAAAAAAAAAAACAAAAGGGAAATAACAAAAAAATATTTCTATTGTATACAAATTAGAATAACAGGTAAGTGATAAAAAAAAAAATAATTAAATAAAAATTTTTTTATATTTTTAGCTACTATTTTTCAAAATATGAAACTCAAGTATCTAAAAGGAAAAAAAGAAAAGGAGAAAAAAATTCAATGTTTTTTTTTTTTGTAAAAATTGATGAACTAATTTTCTAATTGATGAAAAAAAAAAAATGGAATCTTTACTCCTCAGTCCTCCTTAGGTCCACGAAATTTTCATGATTTAACAACATTATTGCTTATACGAATACGAGACTTGCGTTGGAGTTTTTATTTCTTTTTCTTTTCTTTCTCTTTTTTGAAATATTTTGAATAGTGGGTATGGTGTGTTTTATATTTGTACATAAGTATGTAACAATATATCAACGTATTACGTATTGTATGAGGGAATGTTTAACTAGAAACATAGAATTTCATTTGTACATGCAGATATAAAAATTTGTGTAGTTTCTGGTTTTTTTTTGTCGGGGAATAAACAAAAATTTTAAAAATTTGTTTTTTTTTTTTTCAGTTAAAATATGGTAGAATGCCAAAAATTGGCATAACATTCGAAACAAAAAAAAGTTCAATATTAGGTTTAGGTTAGTTATAGAATAGGTATGTATGTAGTTAAGTACCTATAATATTTACAAATCGATATTTTAATGATTTTTTAAATTAACTGGGTATACGTAAATGAAAAGTGTTAGGCAGTTATTTTTATAAATTTATAATGAATTGGCAATTTTCTATAAGAATTTAACTTATTTGCAAAATATTAGTTTTTAGTAAGTACATTGTTATTTAATTTATATAATTTAACTATTTACATAGTTGCATGTATGCTCAAATGTTCCTACAGCCATACCTATTTAACATCTTGTGTCCAATTATCAAGTGTCACATATTATTTGTATCTTGTTTCCAAAATTACTTTATAACTAGTGCAATAAGTAATTTGTTGGTCATTTGAACCTACTTAATAAGGAATTTATTGTCTATGATTAAGACATACATAGTGATTTTATTAAATATTTAAAGCATTCTCTGACAACTCTATAGGCCTTATGAATATGGTTATCTCGTAGGAGAAAACCATATTCATAAGGCCTCACAAGAATTTATTGATTACATTAAATATAATTTCGATATATGTAGCTTATTGAATTAACTTTATTATTTCATTTTGGCACAAAGAAAGAGTGAAAATAAACAATCAGCTAAAGCCCTAGTTTAGGTTTTAAGTAATATTTAGAAACCTAGTTTATTTGTCTTTCAATAGTTTATTACTGCAATTTCTTTTAATGAACTAAAATTTTTAAATTAAATCACCTGATGTTAAATTTTTGACAAGGTCCTTCGGGGTGAATGCCTTAAGTAAATAAGTATGCAAAATGATTTAACGCCGACAGAGGAATGCTCTTATAATATTTAAGTAGCACCCTTAATAAAATGCGAGTGAACATTGAGACGTAGATTGAAGGCTAGGTTATAAATATCCAATTGAATAAGTTCAAATTTTTATTTACAAAAACTAATTATTTTCCAAAAAAGAAAAAATAAGTGCATCCGAACTAAATTACGATCTTCCGAATTAAATACTTGTAACAAATTAATTAGTGAATATTTTGCCTAATTTTAAAAATATTTTAAGCAAATATGTAATTATGTACATATTTGATTTAGAATTTTTAAAATATTTTAATTTTTTTCAAATTACTTTGGATCAAAATATTTTAGTATGCAATAGGTATTCTAATAATAAAGTGAAACCAAATTAATAAAATCATTTGCATCGCGATTGAGATATTATGTTTATTCTTATTTCTGTCTACTGTATCCAAATGTTTTCAGTCTATTTATTTGAAGAATTTTTGTATCCAACTAAAAGAAAGATTTTTTTTATTTTTTAAATTTTTTATAAGGATCTTACGCAAAATTTAAATTTTTTCCTCAGATTTTAAATTTTTTTTTTTTGTTTTATTTTTTTTTTTAATTAAATTTTTGCTCTTTATTTTGCAGCATAAGAAATATATATACATAGTACATATGCGTACACTGATACCGTTGCCTCTTTAAAATTCAACAAATTTTGAAAAATATTCTGGCAATAATTATTGTATAATACCTTTAATGTTAAAAATCTTTGATGTTCTCCCTATTAATTTAATATATTAGGAAACATAAATTAAATTATAGATATTAATTACATGGAACAATTATATTTACATACATATATTTAAGGTGTGTCTTTGAATTATCACAATTTTAATTCACACCTTGTTGTTTTATTTTCAACTTAAAATAATATTCGCTTAATTTATTATGGCCTTGAATAGGTTGCTTTAAATGAACTTTTTTAGCTCAGTTTTCACTAATGTTCTGTATATGTGCCTAAATGAAACTGTAGTTTTAGTATTACTATTTTATATATACGTGTACAAATAATTTGTACTACTAAATTGTATTTTAATTTTGATATTATAAAATTAATTTGTTATTTTAATAATATTCGTATTCCAATTTTCATAATTTAAATAGAAACATTTGAGTGTTTTGTTGTACATATGTACTTGTAGTATGTTTTTTTTTTGAACAAATATTTAAAAATAGAAATGCAAATATGTAATTTTATATGCATACATATATACATATACATTTAGTTAGTTGTTTATAACATAATATATATTATATTGTATACTTACTTAATAGTACAAAATTTAAGTATTCATTATATTTAAATACATATATTCTTAACACAATATACCTAAAGACTAAGAATAACAAAAATAAAATAAAAAAAATCGGTTGAGATCAGCATATAACCGACCGAAATGTGTATTGTTTAGTTTGGCAAAAGTGCTGCTACAGAAGAATATGAAAGCATCTTTTAAATACTTCTTTCCAATTTTAAGGAATTTAGTACTTCTTAATTAACATACCTAGGAAAATGTAAATTGTGTCCTTATTAAGGTTTCGCTTTGCGTTATTCGAATTGCTAGAAAAGTCTGAGCTCGCCAGTCTGTTTCGATAACAAGTTAAACTCAAATATTAAATTTAAAGAAATTTCATTAATTAGTTCCGTAGATATTATAAAAAAATGTAAAATAGATTCCTAGTCCTATGTCTGAGCTCTGATTTTTCCAAAAAAAACTATAGGTTCTTTGTATTATTTCTCATAACATGCGCAAAATATGAAATGTACACGCAGTCCGACATCTCTCTAAAATAGTTTATTTACGCTTCCCTGTAATGGAAAAATGCTTTCGCAACAAAAACTCTACATCCGATATTTGGCCCTATCACATAACCGTCCTTATTGCATCCAATGCGGTCTATAAAAAATACAAAGGATCCCAAGGTGTTTTTTTATTTTTTTTTGAAATATAATTACTTGAGTATTTTTGTTTATTTTATTTATTTATTTATTCTGTTTACAATTTAGATGTTTTGGTCGCTATTCGTAAAATATTTTGTATAAAATTAAATTATAATTTGTACAAAAAAAATATATTATAATATAAGCAAATTAATTAAATAGAAGTAATTGTTTACCGTTGTTTATATAATTAAAAACTTATTATAAATTTTTACGTATAAATTTTACTTATATTCATATTATATAATATTAAATATAAAAAACGTGGAGAGAATCTTAGTGAGGTCTTTATTTAATTGTATATACATAAATTATATTTTATGATATTAGATAAGATTATATTTATTACAGAAATACCGAATATAGAAAGTTTACGATATTAGGGACTTTCATGAGCGCAATACTGCAAAAAAAAAAAATAACGTAATGAATATAAAATATATTTTTAACTATATTCTATAAAATCAAATCAGTTCAACTGTTTAAGAATAAACTAATTTAGCAATATTTTTGTTTATGACCAAAAATATTGTGTAGTTTTCGCTAAATGTTGCTTTTGCTAAAAAGGCCTATTATTTTCATTAAAGTTGAAAGATCAACTTTTTGGATAAGGATTCCAAAAATAAAATAATTGAATTGTAAGAATAGTCGTTTTAAGTACCCATATATTTTTAATAAATAACATGATGAAATAAATCCAAAAAATAATAAAGATAGTTACTAGTACTTTATTTTATTATGTTTGTAAATAAATAAAATTAAATCCCTAATTTCTATATAAAATTTAAATTTAATTAAATAACAAAGAAATAAACATTTTATTTAAATTTAAATTTTATTAAAATTCAGAGATTCTTAGGTTATTTATTTCCAATTTTAAGGATTGACACAAAGTTCAAGTTAACATAATTCTTCTGTACACTTATATACTTAAATTAAAAAAAAATACGTCTCGCTGATCAAATATAATTAATATTTATATAATATAATTTGTTTCAAAATTATATTTTAAAAAATTATTAGTTTTAAGTGAAGTTGAAACACCACACAAATTATATGGTGAAATACCCATATTTATGTCAAATTGAAATTAATTTGGCAATTATTCAAAATTGTATTTCTATACTATTCCATACATGCATATATACATACATATATACTTAATGATGATATGACAAAAATAATTTGTTCATTTTAAATTTTAATTATTTATGTTAATTTCGAATAGATTTTCGTAGTTTTTTTTTTATTTTAATTCAGTAATTTGAATGAAAATTTCAAATTTAAATATTTATCTATATAGTTATGTGTATGTGCATATACAGATGATAAGTATAAATAAAATATAAAAAATAATTTACTTAGACTCTTGCATATATAGATATATGAGTTGAGGTAGATATTTGAGGGTAATATTATTGATAAGAATATAAAATAATAAGTAGGTTTTTTTTTTTTTTTGGTTTATATAAAATACACGTTTTTCTTTTCTTTAAATTGATAAGAAATAAAAATAAACTATAAATCATAAAATATCAAAATGGTTTGCATGACTTCAAATCATATCTTGTGAATAAATAAAAAAAAATATTTATCATTATTATTTTGGCGCAACAATTTCCAACACAATCTAAAATATAAGTAAAATGTTTATTTTTGTTAAAGTTTATTATGCCTATTTATAAATTTTGTGTTTACTTATAAAAATGTTCCAAAAAAATTGTGATTTTTAATTGCAGATACTATGAAAAAATTATTTCTTATGACGTACAATTATAGTATTTTTAGTATTTTTATTAAAAATTAAATTACTAATGTATTCATTGTATAGATTTTTGCCCACATGGAATACATTATTACTTATTACAAAATGTAAAATACTTTCATTGAGAATAAAACAAATGGGAATGTTAAATTTGATCGTGTTCAAGAGTTGAATAACAATTTTACGTACAGCCTTCATTATGCATTTAAGATAAAGTTTTTATCTTAAAACTTTATTAATATTTTTTTCCTTTGGGGCAGTAATTCTTTTATTAAACTCATATACAATATTTAAAATCCAAATTCTAAATACAAAATTTAACAACCATATCCTTTACAATCTATAACGTATGGGTTAATTTTTTTTTTTGCATTTTGCATGGCAATAACTCGAATTACTGCCAAATTGAATGTAAATTTAATTTGGTTTTTTTGCGGTATGAAATTAAATGACTCTTATAGGAATTTTTTTGGAAAATTTGGTTAATTTAGCTTATAAGGGTCACTATTTATATTTCGGGTCTAGCAATAAAAAACAAACATTTATCATTGGAAATGGTTTTATTGTTTTTCAAAATATTCCCCATGAAGATCAATACACTTTTGCATGCGCTGAAACCAATTTTCGTAGCACTTTTTCCACTCCGATTGAGACACCTCCAAAACATGGTTTTTGAACGCATCGACTGCTTCTTCAGGTGTTGAAAATCGTTGTCCACGCATTTTTTTTTTGATGTGAGGGAATAAGAAGAAGTCATTGGGTGCTAAATCAGAACTGTACGGCGGATGACCCATCAATTCGACATTTTGAGTGCTCAAATAGTCCATTGTTTCAGCTGATTTGTGAGAGCTTGCATTGTCATGATGAAGAATGATTTGCCGGCGCTTGTTTGTTTTCCTTATTTCTTCGAAAACTTTTGGCAAACGGATGGTGGTGTACCATTCAGAATTGACCGTCCTACGTTCCACTAAAGGTACTGTGGCCACATGACCGGTTATACCAAAAAAAAACGCGATCATTTGCTTCGATGTGCTTCTTCCACGAACAACTTTGTCTTGGAACACCCATACGGTCGATTGCTGTTTCGTTTCGGGCTCATATGCATAGATCCATGATTCATCACCTGTGACTATCTTATAAACGTCTTTTGACGCACCGCGATTGAATTTTTTCAACATTTCTTTGCTCCAATCGACACGAGCCTTCTTTTGTGCAATCGTCAAATTTTTTGGGATCCATCGAAAACACACCTTTTTCACGGCAAGATGTTCATGCAATATCTTATGTCCGCTGGTGGAACTAATGCCCAAGGATGCCTCAATCTCACAGTATGTCACATGCCGGTCCATCATTATCATTTCGCGCACAGCATCGATGGTTTCCGGCAAAACGACCGAAATTGGCCGACCTTCACGAAATTCATCCTGGAGCGAACGGCGTCCGAAACCAAACTCTTGGTACCAGCGATTTACAGTGGTTTTTGATGGTGCTTCATCACCAAAAGTCGAAACAAGTTGATCGAGACACTCTTGTCTCGATAATCCGCGCCGAAAATCGTAAAAAATCATCGCACGAAAAATTTCACGGGACAATTCCATTTTTTGACCGAGATGAATTTTTCAAGTCACTGTAAACAAAACAATTCGCGCTCGAATGACAAAACGTTCTGAGTGAAGTTGTCCTAAAAAATGTCAAACTTTCCAATGGAAGTGTCAGATTGCACCTGGCAGCACTAGTATTGCCAGGACCCGAAATATAAATAGTGACCCTCGTAATGCATTAATGCGGACGGGCGAAAAGACTCGCGAATTTTTTTTTATTGACTTAGATCTCTCAGTCTTACAATTCGTTGCTCAAGAATATTTTGAATAAAAATATAAAATTTTTAGTGCTAAATTTAAAATACGTTTTATAATATCCTAAAAATTTTTATTTACAAACTTTGGTATATATATATAACAATTTTTAGTAATGAGGTATAATTATATATGTATAACAATTGCCAGTACTTACAGGCGTTTTGATTTCGCTTTCTTTCTAATTTTAAAATATTTTTTCGGACTATTATTTACGTTTTTAATTATTGTATTAATTAAAATTAAATTGAAGAAATTAATTTAAATTTATAAAATTATTTTAAAAATTACAAATTTTTTCTGATTTATTATATTTCATATTATGCCAATTCTATGTTGGCTATTCTATTCAAGATTTCTGAAAATAAAATTAAATAAAATTTAATATTTACTTATATATATATTAAGTACATACATACATACTAAAATAATTAATTTCTTTTCATTTTTCATTCTAGGTCTATTTGAAAAACAAAACATACCTGTATCAACACTAAATTTAACAAAATAAAATAAAAAAAAACACACATTTACCTGAAAATTTGCGAAATTTTTTCTACATTTTTAAAACAAAAAAAAAAAGAAAATTTATTAAAAATAACAATTTTTTTTGCAAAATTTATATTTATAATTTAAAAAAGTCAAAATTTTAAAATATTTTGTAAAAATATATATATATATATATATATTTTTTCCTGTTTGCAATAAGCTACACACTTAAAACTATTGTTAATGGGATAAATTTGCTAAAAATTGCTTTTCACTGCAAAAAAAAATAAATAAATAATAGTAAAAAAAAAATTTATTAAATAAAATTTATAAAATTTAAAATATTTTTATTGTACTTACTTACTCTTGAATAACTTAACTAAAAAAATAAAATCCCAAAAGAAAAGAAAAAAATTTCAAATAAAATTCTGAAATTTGAAACATCAAGAATAAAAAAAAATCAAAATTGAATAAATATCAAAAAAAAAAAAAAAAAAAGAAACCAATAAATACAGAAAGAATCTGGAAATTTAAGTTGCCAAAATGCGTGTCGTTGCTATGGTTAGCGGTGGCAAGGATAGCTGCTATAATATGATGCAATGTGTTGCCGAAGGACATCAGATTGTTGCGTTAGCTAATCTACATCCAAAAGATTTAGGTAAGTTTGATTTCGTTTTCTATAATTTGCATGTAAGTACGCTGACCGTCTATTTGTAACGAAAGTAAAAAAATTATTTAAAAAAGGAAAATATTTATATTTAAAAACATTGGGGACAGCAATTACTTTTTCCTTATCTTTGTCTATTCTCTATAAATTGTATAAAGAATTTAAAAAGCATAAAAGAAGGGCTCAATGCATACACTTTTATACTGATAGGCTGATTCTTTATTATATATAAGTTGCTACGAAAAATAAATTTAATATACCTATGTATTTAGTTGCTCAAGGTAGCATACTAGTTAAAATAATGTTCGGTTCAGATAAAAATAAATAAAATTGAAAAAATTGCTCTCTTAAAGGCCATTGTGAGCGGGCGGCCTAGCATGCGCAACAATGTTGCGTAGCGGGCGAATATACAATGTATACATCCGGATACATAAAAATTTTGAGGGCTATATTACTAAAAAAAGTAACAAGTTTTTGAAAAAAATATAAGAATAAAAAAATGTCTAGAATAAGTTTCTACATTCATATTGCCTATAATAGGATAAGTGACAATCCATACAAGCGGGTACTAGTACCCGACCCGCTCATAATGTGTTAATATATTTTTTTATTTAATTTCAAATTTATTAAAATACACTCTAACTGAGGAGTACAGCTGAAATATTTTCAATTTTTTTTTTTGAAATTCTTCTAAAATAATGGCCCAATTTATTTGCAGACATAAGTACTCCGGTACAATCTTTTTGGTAAAAGTTTTAGGTTCTAGTTACTATTAATAAATAATAAATCTTAAATATAATAGACAAGTTTACTTTACAAATTGATAACTTTAATTTATTGATTATAATAATAAAAAAGATAAGATCGTCTAAGAGGCCTTGGAGATCAAAAAAAAAATTTTAATTTAAATTTGACTTTAAAAAGAGCATTAAACCTCAAACCCCCTTACATACAACATAATCTATCAAAATAAAATATTTTTAATATGAAGCCTCTTTAATGATATTCTTAATTTAATATTCTTGATCTAGACTGCTATGAAAATAAATGTAAAAGTCAAGGTTCGTAAGTAATGAACGTAATTTGAGTGATTCATATAGAATGATAAGTGAACTGGAAACAATAAATAAATGGCAAGAATTTTATGTATAAACTTGCAAATATACGTATATTAAAATACATACATATTTTTAATAAGCAGCTGATTTAATATTATAAAAATTATATATTTTTTTTTCAGTTCTTAATTTATAATTTAAATTAAAAAAAAAAAGAGAACACATTATTGTAATTTGCTTACAGAACCATGACGAATTATGAATATTGAATTTAATTATATAAGTATAATACAATTAAGTACATTTAATTGTGTACAAATAATATTAAATTGTTAAATAAAAAGTATATTTATTATGTATCATAAGTATAATTAAATAATTTATATTTGTTATATGTACTTACGCATAGGTTGCTTTTCTAAAATCAATTAATCTAACAGATTATTCTTTTGTATAATTCTCTGTTACAGTTCAAGTGTAATATAGTTGAAATCAATTGCGCTTTGATACCCAATGATTTACTTTTATTGTGATATAAATGTTCCTCATATGCTTTCCCACAAATAGACCCATTTATAAATTATTGAAGTACATATTTAAAAACATACTTAATTTATCATCAAGCAAACTCTATACAATCTTTATTTTTAAATACTCTGATACAAATACGTTTAGCTAGTATCTATGACGTCGTTTGTGTTGTTCTTATACATATAAGAAGTAGTTATTTATTCATATATAAAGTAAAACTTACTTTACTTTTCTCTCATAGTTGAAGTTCGTGACAATTTATCAATGTATATTTATGTTCATTTTTAATTAAATGATAAAATCACTTAAAATATTTTAAGTATAGTTTTAAGAAATTTTTTTAATAATTTTCTGATTTCCAGATATACGAGTAAATTAAATTTTTTTTGAATTAAATTCATAAGTAATGTAATTTTATTTTATAGTTGTTTTATTAAACAATATACAGTTTCTTGTACACACATTTATATATCTAAACAATTTGGAATATACCGGGTGTTATATTTTGTAAAATTTATTGGATCAATTCACAATTATACGTGATTGTTGAGTTTATACAGAGATAACTCTGTAAATAAATGTATTTGCAGTTGTAATTGTAAATCACTCCCAATTTTCATTTACTATGAGAGAGTAGACGTTTTTCACCATAATTATTACATATGTAAGTACCCCGTATACTCTTAACAATTATTTATTATTATTATTAGGTCATTAATAATTTACGATTTAAAGAAATTTTAATTAATTGTTTTAGTTTTTATTGATTTTGTCGAATTTTGATTGATTTAGTCAAATTTAGAGCCTGATCGTTTATCTCGTTATTTTACTCAGTCAGAGAGAGGAATAATTGGAGAGAGTGAGAAGAGAATGAAATGTAATGAGAAGAATTATTTATGTATTGGGTATCTCGCTTTTTTCTAAAATTTATACAAAATTTATTCACTTTGTTTTTGAAAACGGTAGTGTGGGACATTCAGTTTATAATTTGAGAAAAAATGCGAAACTCCAGTTGAACAATTGAAACTCCATAAGAAAAGCCAAAAATTCTAATTTGAAAGTGAATAAAAAGTGAGAAGATAAAGCGAGATACACCATGATAAGGCTGTTAATATTATAAATTTATTTGAAAAATTTTAATTAAACTCTTATGAATATTTTTAAAGTAGGAGAATTTCTTGAAATTTTTTTATTAAAAAATCTCTTGTAACAAAATTATAGAGTTAAAACTTAATATACCCAAGAAGAAACTTAAATATTTTGTGTATATAATTGTAATACAAGTATAACAATAAGTTTATTCAAATAAGTAAATATATAAATCGATTCTCTTTATCTCATTTCTATCAAATTTATTATTGTTTACTTTAAATACAATTTAAAAATGTTAAAATAATTTATTGATTTTATTTTTTTTTTTGTTTAAATATATTTTTAATTTCGATTACAATAGATTTTTTCAAGAATTTTTAAATGTAATAAAAGAATTTCTCCAATAATATAGCTATTTTTAATTCATATTCTGAAAAACTAAACAATATTATACAAGCTATGAAAGCTATTTCAATGTATTCTTAGCTATGGTATATATTATAGATGTATATATATATATAGTTTGTTTTATATAATATTATTAGTTTATTTTATAAAGTTCAAATGGAAATAATAAACGATTCTTTTTTATTATTGATGTTATAATATAATTTCAAAAGATTGGAAAGTAACAAAAAAAAATTATTTTTGTCTGACTTTGAAAAAAATTAAAAAAAAAAAATTATCAATGTTTTTATGCAAATATACGAAAACAAAAAATGATCTAATGTGATCAGCCTATGATCGATCCACATTGTTGTTTTCAGAATATTCATTGGAAATTGAAATATGTTAAACTAGCAAAAGTATACCATATATAAAAAAAATAGCTCTTTAGTAAAGGTTCGTTTTCTGCATTCAAATTCTGCAAAAAAGTCAAATAAATTGACTTTTTGCAGAATTTGAATTGTCCTTAGACAATTTATAAAAATAATTCAAAATTGGAGTTGAATGAATGTTTAGTTTTTGAGCCCCTTATATCACCAAAATTTTATATTAACAAAACTAAAATAAAAATAAAATTTTATAACTAATAAAACAAAAAATATAAGCACTTAGGCGACAAACAAGTAAACAAAAAATATAAGTACTAAATTTTGTTTGTATTAAAAATTCATTAGCTTTCCCCCTTTCCCATAGATCGTCTCGAGCTATATTATGTTGCCAAACAGAGCTTATATATGTATATATATGTGTTTATATTAAATTTAAAGGAAATTTATTAACATAATCGCGGGCGCTAAAAATTTCAGGGAACAGCAAAAATATATAGGCAATTATTTTTGAAATTACACAATTATTTTTATAATTGTGTAATTTTATTAATAAATTATTTTATTAATTAATTATTAATAAAAATAAAATAATATAAAAATACCTAATGAATTAGTTGGTCATTATTTTGAAATGTATAAATTACAAAAACATAAGCTTGTATAACGTTAAATGAATAAATATTGGCTTTAAAATTTGAATACTATAGCATTCGCATCCGCGAACGTGTTAATATTTTTCTTTAAAATTATCAAAATACTAAATCAGTTAAGATTATTCAGGGTTTCATGTTCGAAACCGAATTTGAAATATAACAAGCCCAACGAACAGCAGGCCGTCTGATCGAGATTTAACTGAATTCAATTCATGTTTAATTGAACTCGACATGGCATATTTTTGATATTATCACAATACCCACATAATTTGTGTGCAATGTGATCAGTTAAAAAAATAATCCATACTTATAATAGAAAAAAGTAAATAAAGTATAATAAATTAAGCGGCTATAATAGATTAAGTAAATCTAAACCTATTTTAATATATTTAAAGAAAAAGTTCTTATCTATTCAAGCATGTATAATCGTATTTATAAGCATATGCACGTATAAGTATATACGTACACGTTTTTATTAAATTATTTATAATTTTTATATATTTATTTCAAAAATTTATTTAAAGTAAAAATGAAAAATAAATATCGGCGCTCAAAACACTCAAAAAACAAAATATTTTTTTTTTTTTTTTTTGACAAAAATTCAAGGATTATTCTTGAGACTGTCATTGAATGAATAGTAAATTAATAATAAATCAATTGCAATTGAAAATGAAAATTTTCGATATACTTAAGTAGCTAATTATATACAAATTAATTTTTAAAGTACACTATATAGAATTTAAATTATAACACTTAAGTATGTTGCATATTTTGTAATAAGTTTTCATATATTTGAATATTGTATGTATTGCATAGTATGTATATGCGTTTATCTTATCGTATATTCTTTACATTTAGTAATTTATAAACTTATACGTGAGCAACTGAGCAAATAAGTCAAATATTTGTTATATAGGAAAAAAAAAATTTACATTTTCATATACCTACATATGTACATATTAGTACATATTATGAAATGTAATAAAGATTGAAATGTTAAATAAATATTATTTATACATTTTTATTACATTTTATATAAAAATTATAAAAATATGAAGTAACAAAGTATGTAGGATTATTTTATTAGTCTTAAAAGAAGGTATACACTTATAGATATTGTAAAGTAAATGAAAGATTATTGTTATCTTAATGATAAAATATAATGTGAAATTTAAAACGCCCCCAAAATAAGAAGGAATAAATATTAATATTTAAAGGTTTTCATCTATAAGTCGAATTAATATGAATTAAAATTATACAAAATACATTGGGAAGTTTAAGTAAAATTGAAAAATATATATTGAAATTCATATGAAATAGGAGCTTTATTAAAAGTCTGAAAATATAACTCAATAAAAGTTAGATATGATTTTTGTATAAAATTATCCAAGCAACTAGTCTAATTGATATTATGGTTATATATTGTTAGATACTCGATGATATTCTCGAACTTGGGTAATAGCCTTCTGTTTATAGTTTATTGTGCTCTACAAAAGATAATTTTTACAAATATTCAATAGAACTAATTTTCTTTTTGAGTGAGCCTGTTTTAAATTAAAAAGTCTTAGTATACTCACTAGCGTCCTCTAAAACAGTAGTTCGTTGTGTAAGTAATTACAAAAATTGTCTTCTGTATAACACTATTAACTTACAATTATACACAATATGGTAATATAATGGAAAATGCAGATATTAAAATTACAAAGTTAAAATATGTAATAAAAATTTTCACTATATTTTTCAATTTGTCCTACCGAAAATTAATGTGGGCATGATGGTTATTGTATTTTACTAGCTTAACGTATATTAATTTTTTTTTATGTTATATATACTGACCTATATATTTTAATGCAAAAATCTCAGCACATACATGTCCATATGAATATTTTATAATGAATTTTAATTTTTATATTAAATCCGACTTTAATTTTAATAATAATATCACAAATATCTAATAATTACTACATAATATTTTAATGCATATATATATATACGAGTATATATGTATATAATTAAATTTCTCGTATTAAATTGCCAAATTGAATATTATATATGTATGTTATATTAACACATTCTAATAATTCTATAATTATTTCTGTAAATATAACATTTATATACAATATAATATTATATTATTTATTAATACCTAATAAATTAACTGAAAAGAAATATTTCTTAATTTAAATACAATATATTATACAAATAATAAATTATGACATACTTTTATACTATTATATGCATATAGTAATTATATGTATGTATATATTCTCATATACTATCAAATTAAGTTATTAAATATTTATTTATTATTTTTAGTATATTAAAAATAACAATTTTTTTTTTATGTATACATAAATATTAATTTGAAAGTTATACAGGGTCTAACGGGTATTATATATTAATAAAAATCCAATATTTATGAGTATATTTACGGTTTCAAAAATGTTATAAAATTCGTATAAATATTTTATAAGTATAGTTTAATACCTAAGATTTTTTTTTTTTTTGGTAATTAAGCGATTTAAGCAAATCTTTTACTTGATCTTTTTACACTATTCTAATATTCATTTAGTTAATTTACAATGAAATTGAGTTAGTAAGCTAATATCCTAATACAAATACAGATGTAGTGAGTGATTTTTCCGCTATTTGATTTTTCGTGCTTTTATTTTTGAACTTTACGTGTGATTCGTTATAAATTGTCACATTATGCAACTAAGTATAAGATTTCGTTTTTATCATAATTATTTTTATAACCATTCTTGTATCAAACAACTTAACAATTAATATTGAATGTATTGTTGCTGATATTCTGCTTTAGTCGAAATGTGTCAAAAACTAGATATTCTAATCACTAAAAGCGTAATTGTGTTAAATATTGATATGGGAACATATTTGGAAAAAATGGCAACCAAACAAATAATTCATTAATTTAAATGAAAACTACATCCAAATTTTCATCTTTGGCGTTTTTCTTTAAATTAGAAAACCACATAGTTTTCATTACTGATAATATTACTTTTTACTTATTGATAATATTCCAGAAAGATCGTAAATTCAAATTGAATTGGGAAATTTAGAACTTAACTTAAAAGTAAATCATCAAAGATCTAATATACTTAAAGCTAATGGAAATTCTGTGAGCACAATACTTGTACACAGTATAATCTGAGATACCATATGCAATTTAATATTATTTTAATATGATAGTATGTCACTATAATGATATAATTTTTTACATAAATAAAAAAAAATTTTTTTTTATTTTTGTCTACGATAATAAAATAAAATGTAAAATATCTATGAATTTCTTTTGATTTTCTTTTTGCAATATTAAGAAATATTTGTCTACGTTTTTATTTATTTTATATATAAATTAAATTGTACATATATTAAATAATTAATATATGTATGTATAATAAATAATTAAGTGCTAATATAAATCTTATTAATTTTTAATTTTCCTCTTTTTTTTTTTTTTTTTAATTTAATTGTAGACGAATTGGATAGTTATATGTATCAAACGGTTGGACATATGGGTATAGAAATTTTAGCAAAAGCTATGAATACACCATTATATCGACGTGAAACAAAAGGTAAAAGTACTCAAACTGGTAAACATTATGTGCCCACCGATGATGATGAAGTTGAAGATCTATATAATTTATTGGAATATGTTAAGGTAAATTTTGTTACTCATATATAATATAATCTAAAAATAATTATTTAGGTAATATTATTTGCAATATTTGTACTATTATACTATAACGTATAAACATTTCTAATAATCGTAAAATTTTAAAAAGATAATTTTAGAGCCTTGTAAAGGGGGAAATGCTGTCCAAATGATCGTATTCTAACTTCCTTTAAATTTGAATTGGAGTCTGTAGCTATAGTCTAATGCGTTTTATATGGGTGCGAATAATCCCAAGTTGGTATTTTTGTTTTATGCAGATAAATTCGGATTTTCGTTCGAAGAACAAAAAATTTAAAAAAAAAAGCTGTTGTACTTTAACATTTGACATATAGTTCAGAGGGTCAGAAAAATCAGAAAGCTAATGTGTGTGTTCGAATACTTTTAAAGTTTTTTCCTAATATTAGATCCAAAATTAAAAAAAAAAAACCTTAAATAAAGTGAGTTATGCTGTTATTCAGAAAAATTAAAATTTTTCTTTCTGGATCAAGATATGGCAATAGGAAAATCGGAATATAAATCCGCGTAAAATGATTTTTCACAAATTTTTAGAAAAAGAAGAAAAAAAAATATTTGAAAGATTTAGAAGAAATATATATATATGAACGAGAAATATTAATTTTGTGTTCTGTACATTTTGACCAAAGAATATGCGGTTCAATGTTGTCACATTTTAGAATTAAAATAAAATTATTATATACTTATTAGTAAATTATTATATACATATTAATTAGTTTGCATCAAAATTCTTTATACTGATTTCTGATCTCCAAAAATGTAGTTAATTTCCATATTATTTAATTTCTGTAGAATTTTTACCAAATTTTATCACAATCTGCATTCACTAAATTTTTTGAAAATATGTAAAGTAAAATTATTACAACAAAATTAATATCTAATATTTAAATAAATTTACATACATATATATTAACTTATTGATTGTATATACGTACATGTATATTAAATTTATTTATTATAATAATTAAAAAAAAAATTAATCTATTAAGCGCCATTTAAAATTTAAGTAAATTAAGTAAATGAAAGAATTAAAATTTTAAAAATCTCATAAAATTTTAATTTTCCTTAAAGCATTCAAGTAAAACTATAGCGTGTAAAATTCAATAAACGTTAATAATTTTTTAGATATTTATTATTATTGAATTTTCTAAAGTATTTGTTTATTAAATTTTGTCGGCAGGTGTGAAATTATATATATATATATATTTTTTTTTTGTTTAAGTAAACAAAAGTCGTGTGCTAATTCTATTTGTTCTATTAGTGAAAATTGATTTAAATTCAGTGGTATTCTAATAAAACGGACGATATAAAGTCGAGGTCGTTTGTTATAATCAAAATCGTTCGTTATATTGATGAATGAAAAAATGAGAATTGTTTTTATTTTTAGTTCAAATATTTAAATTCGCCATTCTATTATATTACGGTCACCAACTATTGCACTATATGTGAGTTTAAAATTAAAAATTTTTTTTGGTCTTTTATTTTTAATAACATCATATAATGTCGCTTTAGCTAAACTATATTTAATAGCTAACTGTTCTAATAAACGACAACGATCCTTAATAATTTTCGTTTTTTCTTTTATATTCAGACGTATTCTATGTTCCATTATATGTTTTTCATTAGTACGAACACGCACGATACGACTAAACAAATACACAATCAATCGGCAGAAAAAATAATTAAAACAGAATAAAATTTATCAAAACATGAATGGAATGTGAATACATATAAGTATATATATACATACATAATAAAATTAAATAACAGATAATTTAACAGACATTTTTAGATAATCATAGCAATAGAAAAATAAAAAAATTTGCCTGTTCGTTATATAGAAACCAAAATTTTTTGATATACTTCACAATATTGAGTTATTCGTCATATTGAATTGTTCGTTAAATTTGATGTTCGTTATATCGAAACATCACTGTATTAAATTTTAAACGTGCCACAACAATTTGATTATTAAATATTTTAAAAGAAAAAATAAAAAGTAAAAAACTTCTTAATTTTATTCTTAATTTTTTTTTCAAATTTTTTATTGACATTTTCACCACTTTTTCTCTATTATAATTTCACATTTACATAACACTAAAATCTGTTAAAACTACAATGTATATATATACAAAAATTAAGTATGTTTGTACATATATATATATATATTTATATTATTTTATAATTTTAAACTTTGACGTAAAAGTCACATTTATTATAAACATTTGAAGAGAGAGAGAAAAAAAAAAAAAAATTTCTTTTTAATTTAATATTTTTGTAATTTTTTCTTCCTTTAATTTATTTTTGTTATTCTTTATACAACATATAGTGCTTTTATCTTTAGATAATATTGATTTTTATTTTCTTTCTATTTTATTTGCATGCATGTCTGTTTTGTTTAAATTGGAAATATTATGTACACTATAATATATAATAATATTAAGAGTGATGTATGTTCATTATAAATCAAATTAATTAAATGAAAAACTAAATAAATATACAGAAATGAAATTTATTTGTAAAAGTCACAATAATATCAAAATATTTTTAGCATTTATTATAAATGAATATTAAAAACACTATAATATAGAATAATATTAGAAGACAGATATTTACACAATGACTACATAATATTCATATACGTACGAGTATACGATTTGAAATTTACCATTCCGTTCGTAATACCAAAATGTAATATAGTGTAAAATACCCCTGACGGAAAAATTTATATTTATTGAGATATTAAAAAAAAAATTCAGCATTTAAGTTAAATACAATTTTTTGCAAGTTTTTAAAGTTACTGAACATTAGACATATGTCAATATTTTTGCTTAGTTTCAAATGGTTTGGCTTGCAATCATGAATTAGCTCAGCAATATTTGGCCCTTCCATTCGTAACGATTATTTCATAATACATTTCGGAACCCTGCGCTTTTATAAATTTTCATAAATTTTATTAAATCGAATTGAAAAGTGTTTGCAATATGGATTCTCTAATTGTAGTACAATGGTATACATACGATTTTCGAAATTATCCTGTTGAATGTAAAATAGTAATTTCTTATTTTTGTTTTGTGTTCTTTTGATTTGAAATTAATAAAATTAATCCATCCATCATGTAACATCGGTTGAAATTTTTTGGAAAAAAAAAATATAATTTTGTTATTCTTTTATTTCGATTGTTTCTTAGCAAAATTTTTGAAGATCTTACTCTTAAATTATAAACACATATAAGTAGTTAAAAAAAAAAAACGTTTTATGATAATTTTTTTTTTTGCATGAATTTCCATAATCTTTTTATACTAAAAACACTTTTAGACTTTAGAAAATCTTATTTTTTTTTCTTGATTTCCTCTAAATTTTGATTTTGAAAAATAATTCAAATTCCTTCTGCGTATATACTACAAGCGCAATATTGTAATTTTTACTGCAATTCATTAGAATAAGATGAAGAAAATTTAAAACTAAACATTATAGTATGTCTCGTTATTATTATCTAAGATATCATTATAATCTAGGTAATCAATTTTTTCCAAATCCCTTTTAATATTTATAATTTTTTATGAATTTTTCCTTTGTTTATTTTATAATACAATACAAATGCAATGTACAATATATATAGGTTTCATTAAAACTTCTTATTAATATGGATTGTCTCCTGTAAAATAATTTCTACTTGAAATATAATTCTTTAACACTTGTTCTTACTTATATATATATTAATATGTGACATAATAACTCTAATACTTGTGACATAATAAGTCTATATGACATTATAAGTCTAATACTTATTATGTCACATATAGAGCGCGACACAATACATAATTAGTTGCTCTATTTAATTCTAAATTAAATAAATATTTTTCTCTTTTTCATATTTTTATTTCAGTTGATATTTTTAGTAGGTAATAAATTTAATTTAAATTTTAATTTTATTTAATTTTTTTAATATTAATATAAATTTTTAGTTTTAGTTGAAATTACGGAATACTAATATAACCCCTAAAGTTGATGAAATTATTCCAGAAGATGAATTAAATTTTAATAAATATGAAAACGTATACAGTAGTGGCATTATCAAACTTACATATAAATTTCATTTAATGGATTTCATTATTACATTTAAATAATATTGAAAATTTAATGTAATATTCAATTATTTATTAAAAAAAAGTTTAAATTTAAATTGTAATGAATTTATTGTTCCAATAATATTATAAAATTTTCATCAAAATTTTATTATTAAAATTGTATATGAATCCTTATTGATTATATATGTATATTATTAATTTAAATGTCGAAAAATTTGATTTTTTAAGATTTGATTGATTAATGTACTCAATTGATTAATGAGTGAAAATGGAAACACCACCTACTCCAATTAAATAATTCTAAAAGAAAAAAAAAATATAGTTTAAAATAGATTTTAATTACTTTTTCTTTAATAATCAACAATTATATTATTATAAGTAATTGTAAAAATAAACAAAAATTTTCTTGAAAATAATTTAAATAATAATAAAATAAATATTATTGTAGCTCTAATTGAAATTCTACAAATTAACAAATTGATGTCATAATTTTCGTTAATTATTTTTGTTTTTCACTCTAATAATTTTTCATTGTCTTTAAAAAAAACAAAAGTACATGTAATTTGTATAAACAAAAAAATTTTTAATTTAATTCTATTAATATTTATTCTTTTTAATTAAATTAAAATTAATGCGATATGGAATTTAAATATTTTCTTATTTTATGAATTTCAAATTAAAAATTAAATAATTTTTTTTTTAATTTTTAATATTTCAACATAGGCGCATACTTATGCGTATATAATGTGTATATATATATATATATATATATATATATATATATACAAGTAGTGTATAAAAATTGTGCATTCTAAATTATTTAATATTAATAGCCAACATTTTTATTATTTAATTTTTCTTATTACATATTCTTTATTATTATATATTCTTATTATATTTGCAAGAATCAAAAATATACCAATTTTTATTATTATTTCATTTATGTATACATATATGTACATATAAGTTTACATATACAATATATAAAAATTATAATAGAATACTTATTCTATTATATTCAATTAGTATTCAATAAGCATTAAATAATTCTTTTATTAATATACTTAAAAATTCTATTTTAAGTTCTTTAAATTATTAATAAATTTTAGGTTTTTAGGATCAATTCCTAAAATTCATGTTTCCGATAAAAGCATAACTCCGAAACGAACATATTTAAGTATTGCTCATCCAATTCTTATCAAACTTTATATTTTTTACCAATTATATTAATTAGAAATGAATTAGTTACAAAATTTTTAAGTGTACTAACTGATTCTAATTGATATACAGTTGTTATGTATAATCTCTTTGTTGTAATCACATTTTTGAAGTTACAACTTTATGAATCCATAATAATAATAAGCTTTCTATTCTTTGAAGGTGGTATTTGTCTAGTAGTCTATAATTTTGCATAATTATATTAAAATTTTATTCATTTATTTCAGATTTTTGTAATTATCTTAAATTATATGGGTAACCAAAAAGTGGACATATTGTGGCCCCTTCCATATATCATGCCTGTAGAGCTCTCTTTAAAGACCTATTTTTCTGATGAGTTCAAATAACTTCTTCGATACGATTTCTCATAGCTTTTTTTGTTGCGGGGACGTAGCCACTCAGAATTGTTATTATTATACAAAAATGATAATTTTATCTTACAAAATTTAATTGTTTTTCGTAATAGACTCAACACTTTCATTAAAAAATTGCTCATTAAAAAAAAAGATTTGAAATTCAATTTAAGATTCGAATTTATGATTTTCGAATTTTTGTTATATTTAAATTTATATTTAAAATAAATATGTATATATACATAATATTTTTCTTTGTTTATATTTATAAATCTTATATATGTACGTTTAAAATCAAGATATCTAAAATGTACTAAATTTAGCAAATGCTTTAATATATAAGTTTAAAAATATATACATATATGTATATATGATTTATATAAGATTTATAAATATTTTAATTTATACATTTATATGTATGTAATTATTTAAATCTATAGTGTTATAATATTTGTATAATTTAATTTGAAAATTTTATCTTAAAAAAATTATGTGTTTTCAAATAGAGAATGTTTCAGTTAGAATTTTAGTGTTCCTAAGCACTTAAAGCAAACTGAAGTTTTTAGTATTAATAAATTTTGCAATTTGAAAGCGAAATTTTCAGAGAAATATTTTTAAGTTTTTAGAAAACTATTTTAGCTGTTATACTATAGTAGTTAATCCTTTATAACTATAAATTTTGTACCAATGTACGATATTCTTAATGTTATCCTATAATTTGCAATATTATATTCAAAGACTAATGCTATAGGTTTGTTTGTCTTTTTTACAAAAGCAAAATTTTATATTTCTTGCTACGAATAGAACTCACATATGAGGGTATATTGTCCCGATTAGCTTTATTTTTATGATATATTTATACAAAATTTAAAAAAATATAGATTCTAAGTAAATTTCTATACTGTTCTGTAGTTTAATATATAGGAAATATAAGAAAAATATTATTGCATTTTAAAAAATATTTAAAACTAAAAAATACTTACTGGAAGAAAATTTGGTGTTTAAATGAAATGTTTATTAAATCAAAAAAAAAAGTTTTATACAATTTTGTACATAAACAAAGTAAAAATTTTATACAACTTAACGTATATAACGAATTGTATCATTTTTCGAACCATTGTTTGGGCAATTTTTTATTTACCGAACTTCTCTATATTACGAATAACAATTTGTTCGCAAAATTTCGATTTAGATTGTTCGTTATATAAAAGTTTTACTGCATATATGCAATAATGGTAGTGAAAAAAAAATATTTAAGAAAATTTTCTTTTTCACGTTCCGATAAATTAACTGCCCATTATCAAATTACTAAATTAATTATTTTAAAATATTCTGGTCATTTTCTTTTTCAATTTTTTTTTTACTTTAATTGTAAGAATGTATGTATTTAAAATTGAAATTTACTCATTAAATATAAAATTTTGTTCTTTTCTCATTTTGAAAAATATTTTCTAGATGTACTACTTTGATACCATAATTAAAATTTCCTGAGGCTTTTGTAATAATGTAGAGATAAATACTGTATTTTTAGTTTATTTTTTAATTTGAGTACATTGTTCGTAAACCTTTTAATTTTAATTTGTTGTGTATTTAGTTACAACGGACTAGAGGATAATTTTAAATTGTTAAGAAGACTTTTAGAACTAAAACGGCCATTTGTATAATAACAAAATAACAGATTGCTAAATTTAAGTAGAAGGGTAGATATGCCCTGCTCTCTTGTTTAACCTCCTGATAGTTAACACTATCATGAAAATAACAGTTATAGTAGACATGGAAAATAGTAAATTCCAGTACATACAAGCCATTTTGGCACAGTTATTATTGAATGTAGATATATAATATGGGCATATACATATGTAAATACACATTTTGCTAGTTAATTTTTAAATTAGAAAATTTATTTTATTATTTTTATTTTATTTATATTTTATTTTGTGACACATTTAACCTTAGAACGTTGTTATCACCATCATCACGTGTAGAACACATTAAGAATAAGCGATATTCATTTAGACTTAAGAAAAATTTTTTTTTAGTAGACAATTTTAAATATATTTATGTACCTACATCATCAATGATTTAAAAAAAAAAATAAATATCATAAAAAATATGTATGTATGTATAAGAAATATTATCAAAAAATTCTAAAAATAAAACATATTTTTTTTATATTCATATAATTTTGTAGAATCTATGTGCCACATTTTGTATATTATAAAAAATTTCTTTTTCCAATCATAATATTTAAAATGAGCATTTTGTTTAATAATATATTTTAATGAAACATACAGATGGGCCTTTCAATACTTACTCCAAACGGCTGACTAACTGCTGAAAGCAAACTATCATTTTGATTAATTCAGGATTTTTAATAAAAACCTTATAATATTGCAACTGCTATTTAAATTATGAAAAATTATTTTGAATAATTGTAATTTTAAATAATAATTTTTGATAGAATATGATTTTGAGTATGCCTTTGTTTTTTAATTATGAATTATTGTACCCATATTGTTTAATTAAAATTGAACTTGATTAAGGGGAGAATTACCCCATTTACTAAAGATTTTAAAAATTTCAAGTTAAAAAAGGAAAATTAACTTGCATTTATATCAATTTTATTTTTATATATTCAATTTTGATATATTAATTAAATATATTAATTAAAATTAAAATTATTAAAACGAAAATTTAAAATTTCAGAATGAGCATCAAGTAGAAGCGGTTGCAGTCGGTGCCATACTATCTGATTACCAAAGAGTTAGAGTTGAAAATGTTTGCAGTCGTCTTAACTTAGTATCATTAGCTTACCTTTGGAGGAGAGATCAGACTGAATTGTTACAAGAAATGATTGATTGTCGTGTTCATTCGATTTTGATAAAGGTAATTAATATTGTATTTATAATTTTAAAAATATTTATGTATATTTTAAATATGCTAATATATTCTATTTAAATTTTATAGGTAGCTGCTTTAGGGTTAGTTCCTGAAAGACATCTAGGTAAATCTATACGTGAAGTTCAACCGCATTTAATTAATATGAAAGAGAAATATGGTTTAAATGTATGCGGTGAAGGTGGAGAATATGAAACATTCACTTTAGACTGTCCTTTATTTAAGCAGAGAATTGTTGTGTTAGTATTGATAATCGTTTTTTTTTTCATATTAATAAATGTATATTAAATATTTTAATATTATAATATAATTTTTATTGAAATAACATTTAAAATTTTATTTTTAGTGAAGATATGCAAATCGTCATTAGTTCAGCTGATCCAGTTTGTCCTGTTGGTTATATAAATTTTACAAAATTAAGTTTAGCACCAAAAGAATTTCATTTGTCATGTGATGTTTTAGTTAAGAAGTCCTTAGATTATATTAGTGATTTAAATGAGTCAACCTATAGTGATTTAAGTGATCCAGATCTAAGTGAAACAGAACTTGAAATGATTGAAAAAGAAACTCGTATGAGAGAATCAATGAGCCAAAGTGATATTCTATCACGTAGTAATTCATTTGGTCGTCATGTAAGTGCATCGTCTCCAGTGCCAATTGTAATGGCTAAAAGTGCTAGTGTTGACGAACCATCTGGTACGGGTGCAACAGCTGGTACATTTTCTACAGCAAATACTATTTCAACGACAACTACAACTGGAGGAGGCGGTGGTGGAGGTGGATATAGCAGTGGTTATATTATAGGTTCATTAGGTACCTCAGCACCACATACCCAACCTCCTAGCCCAATAAAATACGAAAGGGAAATAAGGCCACTAGAAAATAATGTAATGACAGCTATCAATCGTAAAGGTTGGATGTGGGTATGTGGTATACAAGGTTGTGGTGAAACACCAGAAGATGGTATGAATATTGCTATGGCTCTTTTGGGAGAAGCCGCAAATCATAATGATTATTTACTATCTGATTATTGTTATATTACAATGTATGTAAGAAATATTTTAGAATATGCTACACTAAATCAGATTTACGCTGAAACTTTAAATTTTCAAAATCCGCCGACACGGGTATGTGTTGAATGTCCATTACCCGAAAATTGTCATGTTATTATGGAAGCAGTCGCATATAAAAAAAATGACTTAGAAGGTATTATTGTATTTAATATTATATACTTCTGGAACTTTAAATTTTTTTTCTATATGTGTATAACTTTTAGGTGAATATGGTAAACGGCAAACTATGCATGTTCAGGGAATTTCCCATTGGGCTCCCGCCAATATTGGACCTTACAGTCAATCGACTAGGGTTAGATTAATTGTTTTTTATTTAATGTTGTATGTTAAATCAAAAAATTAAGATTTCTTGATCAATTAAATGTCGTGAAGTTACCACTCTTATAATTTTCAATTAAATTTTTTAAATGAATAAATATGTAAATAATTTAAATTAATTAATTTCCTTTAAAAAAAAATTTAAAGTTAAAAATTAACTTTCAATATATTTTGCAGGTTGGTGATATTACTTATATATCTGGTCAAATAGCATTGGTACCTGGTAGCATGACAATCATTGAAGGTGGTATCCGTCCACAATGTAAACTTGCTCTCAGGCACATATCTCGTATTGCAAAAGCAATGAATGCTAAAGGCCAATTAAGAGATGTTGTACAAGGTATATGCTTTATAACTCATCCAACATATATTGCAGAAGCGAGAAGGCAATGGGAACGTCGGACAGCAAATGCCATTATGGATTATATTGTTGTACCAGCGTTGCCACGTGAAGCACTTGTTGAATGGCAAGTTTGGGCTCATGCGCACAATGATCGATTTGAATGTAAAATTTTGTTTGTATTTTAAAAAACTGATAAGCTAATTTATAATTAATATAGATGAGGAGACTGGTTGTTCAATAGGAGAATATACAATTTCCATAAGACGTCGTTGGAACTATGAGAATAATTGTGCCGCAATTGTTTGTTATGTTTCAACAGGTAAAATTTTAAAACTTACATGTTTTTTTTCCATATTGAATTACATTTGTGTTAAAATCTTTAGGACTTGCATCATCAACGACACAATTGACACAGCTATCGGAAGACATATTAACTAATCATCGTCAATTGGCTCAAAATTTAACAATAGATAATATCAACGAAATACTCACTTACATTATTAGTAAATTATTAAAAGATTCCTCCACAAATTCTTCAACTACAAGATCAATGTCAATAACTTTTGATACGTTAATGAAAGCAGCAACAGATGCCACAATTTTAGCATCTTCATCAACACCTACTCCAACAAATAATACGAATAATACAGAAATTAATATGGAAAATTTTAGTAATAGTTCATTAAACGCAAATCAATTCGCAACAGATGCATCAACACCAACAATTCAAAATATTCCTTCAACAGCAGCAAAAAATTCAATAGTCAAAAATAAAAACAAAAAAATTCCAGCAATACACCTAAAAGTGTTCTATCAAGTAGCAGCAACACCTTCAGTTAATTTATTATTGGGCACATTAAACGAATTTAAATTAAAAATTAAAGATTTAGCTGATATTGTTTTTACAGTGCTACCAGCCTGCAGTTTACATAATTTTAGTACATTTTTATCAATTTGTGGAATCAAACATGAATAATTTTTAACTATTATTATTAATTTATTATTATCTAATATTTAATTATTAACTGAGAATTAAGTAATATTAAGAAATTAAATAAATAAATAAAAAACAAAATACATGATAAAATAATACAAAATAATTATAAAAACTGAAACATACTATTTGGGAAAATATTTCAAAATTTATTATTATATTTAAAAGAAAGAAGAAAAAGCTTAGTTATTATTGTAAAACAACTATATTTAAAACGAAAAAATATATATATATATTGATTTTTGAAAAGGCTTTAAAAATATATTTTTATTTTATTTTATGTGATAAATATGTGTCTTATTTGTCCCTTTTGAAATTTATTTGAATTGATGCCTTTTGAAATTTCTAAATTTTGAAATTTAGATTTAAGTAGTGTGCAACAACAAAAAGTCATAAGTTTTCTTAAAAATACTTTCCTGTTGTTAATATTGTAAAAGGATTCAAAACCTATTTTATACAGATTTACTGCCTTTATCTGGAAGATTATGCTAAAATAAATCTAAAAACAATGGCCAATTTGACTTGGCAATTGAGATGAAATGAATTACAAATAATTTAGCTTGTTTGATTTTTTACTAAGAAGCAATGTAGGTATTTTATCCAAAAGAGTTTTGGGCAAGTTTAATTTAAGAATTAAACTTAAATATGGGCATATCCCAGAAACATCTGAATATTGATGACCTATTAAAATTGCTTAATGTATTTTGAAGAAGGCTAAGAGGATATTTTTCTTAGAGCATTAGGCCTACAGGTACGCTATTGCTAATTTAAAAAATACTTTTACATAATATGTATATTTCCTTTGCTTGTAACATGTAAATATCTAAATAATTTATTAGACTTTGGCAAATTACAACATTTAAAGTAGATTTTTATTCATAAATTTTGTTACCAGTTTTTTTGTACTTTTGAATTATAGATATACCATTTTCATCTCACGAATGTACATTAATTTATTGCTTAATCTGCACACACATCCAGTCTGAATAAGTGTTATCTAAAAATTTTATAATAAAAAACAAATTTTCAAGAAACATCTATTTATTTACATATATTCGCACCTATGTAGGTACATAATAAACTTAAATTTTTACAAATTATATAATATAAACATACATATTTCCACATTTTATGTACAAGATATCTCTAGATCAACTATCAACACTAAAGATTATTCAATATCAAAGCTTAAAACGAGCATATCAACTAAATTTGGAATGCATTTTTTTAAGGCTTTATCTTTACCTATTAGAATACCATCTATAGTTTCTTTTAAATATTTATTTCTTTTAACATAGAAATATATATCATGGAAAAGTTTTTTATCATAACGAAGACTTAATATTGCTTGACGCATTAAATCAATTGTATTTTGGGGCATATGATAAAAGTAAGGACATCTCAAAATTCTGTTTAATTTGGTAGTATCTTCTTTTGTAATGTGTGTTGAAATTGTTTTATCCAATTCTGAAGATATTTTTAAAATTGCATTTATATTACGTGCAGATGAAATAATTCTAGTGAACATTGAATAAAGATTTACGTATTCGCAATAAGCCATTTTATAATCCTTATAATATTCAGCAATCACTTCATTTATTTCATTCTCCTCATCTTTTATTCTTTTCACAGCTTCCAGCATAATTAATTTTTCATATAATTCAATATCACTCATATCTTTCAAATGATTTCCTTTTTAATATTTTTTATTCTTAAAAAAAATTTTTCGGGATTTAAATTAAAAATTTATGAATTATAAAATGAATTTATAAGAATTTTTTTCAAATTTGACAACTGACAAGTTTGAATTTAAATACTCCAGCGCTTTCAAATGAATGTGGTAATTTAAAAAAACAAAAACTGTGTGCTAGTGCCATCTCGAATTTATGATTAGAAACTTGAATATTTTAGTATGGATATTTAAGTAAGATTTACGACTTCACAAATAAGTATGTAAATATATGAAATACATATATTTCTATTATGAATTCTCTTTAACTTGCATCTTTTAATCTCGAAAACTAAAATAAATAACTTTTGGGAAGTTTTGAAAAAAAAATTTCAAAATATTTGACAATAGATGTCGCGGTTTTACTTCTATTTTTATTAGATTTTTAGCCGTGTTTTCGTAGTTCAGCTTTAAAATCGGCTCAGCTGACTGGAGTTGTTGTCAGCTGTATGACATTTTTTTGAATTTCATTCTATTATTTTCTTTTATTTTTTCCCCCAAGTTTATACAAGTTTATACATATGTATATGACAACAAAACATATTATGATATTAACCATAGTAACCACAATTCAATATTCATAATTTTTGTGTTTTCGCCAGTTCAACTACTCTTCTTTCTTTTTATTCACAAGTTTATACATTGTGAGCCCGTTGGTATTTAAAACTTTAAAGGTGAATATCACTATAAGTCAAGTGTAATTTATTTAATCAATTCTTTGTAAAATGTAAACTATTATTTCTTAGACGCTGTACTACATTTCGCACTAGATAATTTATAGCAATAATGAAAATTTCCTGCCCTAAATCCCTCACTTTAATTTTTGTTTTCAATTTGATTTTATAAAGCTTATTCACATTTATAAAATAATGGTGCAATAGTGCGATGCAAAACAATGGTGAATTCCAAAATAATTTTCCCCATATAAAAAGAAGTCGAATGAAATTATTCCCTTTAATTTAAAAAAAAAATATTAGGATACGAAATAATTTTTTTTGTGGAACACATATTTATATGAGTACTCATTTATTGAGTACTCTTTATATTACGTATTTACTTACATAAAATATGTTTCACACATGTAAATATGTACATACATATATGAATTTACATTTTATCCAGAAATATTTCAAATATTCAAAATCTTAAATTCTAATTGTATGAACTTAAAAAATTGTTTTTTTTTTTTTCTTTTCTTAAATTAACAAAAAAATTTAAACTATATTCCATACTTCTTCAAAAGCATTGCAAAGTTTTGTACACGTTATAGCAGCTGATAAAGGATAATTACTTATTGAAAAACTTCCTTCAGTATAATCAACATTTACATTACCATGTGCAAAAGCACCAATGACAAATACAATTGCTTCATTATTTTCGGGAGCAAATTCTTTACAATTTTTTACAAGTTTACCGGTAAATGACATTGTATATTTTTTACAGCCAACAGGAAGATGATCTGTAATAGGATTTTTAATAACTTTCATTAATTTTGTTGATGTTTCATTTGCTCTTATAGAAAATTTGTGTAAAAGTTGAACCATTAGACCAGCAAACCGTTTAAATGTTCTGGGAATTCGAGTTTGTGGATTTATTTCAACAAGAACATTATTTTCAGTTTTTAAATACACTTGAAGTAAACCAGCTCTATTAAGTGGACTATCAAATAACATAAGAAGACATTGATGTGTTATATCCGGTCTACATGAGCCTGGATCCCTATTATTTTTTCTCATTATGGATGCATGATCGTCACAATTTAATAGTTCAAAACCTCCTCCAACCTAAAAAAAAAAAAAAATTAAAAATTTGTTTAATTCTTAATATCACATTACTTGATTAGGACTACAAATTTAAAATTGAAAAACAAGTTATTATTAACTAAATACCTTAACAGTTTCTAGCTGTGCTCCTTCAAGTACAATAATTAAACGCTTTTGTTCTGAAATGATATGGCCTGTTCTTAGATGTTTTTTAGTCAAGTCAAACTCTGTGTCATCTTCGCGGTTTCCAACAAATTTCCTTTTCTTTCCTTTTCCTCCCATTTTATATTATTAAATTATTTAAAAAAATATTTTCCTAATTAACAAAAAATTACAAACAGTGCTTTGTTTTTGTTTTATTTCGCACATGTATTTTATATTTTTTCATTGTCACTTGAATTCTGTAAGATTTTAAGTGTTGCCATTGAATTGAGAGTTAAATAACGCTATTAATTATGTTTACATGTGTATCCTCTTAGCATTATACTTCTAAATGTGTATTTATTGATTCCCTTTCTTTGAAAGGTGAACTTTTTCAAGTCGAACTAACTTTTTTTTTAATAGTTCATTGGTTCGCCACTTTAAGCTGAGCGATTTTTTTTATACTAGATTTTATTTTACACTACAACAATACATTACATTATGGAAGGTAATAATGAAATTGAAATTTCACCTTGCAGTAAAATTGAATTTAAATAAACTTTCCGAGAAAGAAAAACAAACTGCACAAAAAATAAAGAAAATGTTAATTATGTACAAAACAATAAAATACATCAGTTCGGAAAAAAAACATCAGTTCGTTACGAAACTGACAAACTTATGAACCTAACTTAGATGTGTATTTAATAATTCAAAAATAAATGTAAAACATATAACTACTTCATTCATATTAGTATACTTCATTCAAAATATGTACTCAAATATGATAAAAATCATGATTGTTCCGATTTATTGTCATTTATTAATTTAAGTTTAGTATGATCCTATCACAATCTGACTGAATTCGAATCTTTGGAATAACCTTTTTTAATTAAACAAAAATTTTGAATTTTGTGCAATCCAATTTCAATAGTTTTAAAGTGCAGTGTGTTTTGTTCTATTTACTTGCAAAACATTTAGGGATCTACTTTAGTGGGACCTAAATGGGCAACTAGCGCATAGTGCATGTGTCAAAATTTTGTTATACCCAAAACTAACCTTAAAAAGACTTATGCGCATACGCAACGTATTAGAATTTTTGATTTGACAACTCGTGACGAGGTACAACTTTCTTTTTTTCTTGTTTGATTTGCTTTCACAATAATGAAACAATTAATCTCTTAATTTTCAATACATGACAAACTAAAATTTGTGTTAAATTCAGATTACTTATGCGTATATTCGTATATACGTACCCTCAGCAGTCATTGAAAAAATATCCTAAACGATTAAATTTGACAACCATGAAATTGAATGAGGAATTTCGTTTACATAATAATTTTTTTTATTCATATCAAGCTATATCTAAGTATATGTCAGAGGATAAATAATTTACTTGCAAAGAAAAAATAAATATTTAAGAAAAAAAAAACAATCTAAATCTAAGTAAAAATAATTTAAATAGCTGCTCACAGCGCACATAACGAGAAAAATTTATTCTCGCCATTATTTTTCTTTATTTCTGTCAAAAAAGTTTCATAGGAATTGGACAAGCGTCTATTTTTCTGGTTCAATTTTTCTTTATTTAATGGGAAATATGCACATCAAATTTTCATGAAATGTCCATCAAATCAAATCATCAAACTTTGCTTGATATGTGAACCTTACCTTAAAGTTTTAATTTAATTGTGTTGGAAGACACAATATATTTAATTGCTTAGAAATAAACTGGAAGCACTAGCGGCTTTTACACAAACAATGGTAGCTTGTGAGCAATCATGACATGCCAATTCAGCACGTTTTTAAGGAAAGTCAAAAAAAATTTGCTAGCCGGAAAGGTGTCAAAATTATAATATAAAAAAGATTATTTCATAATAAAAATAAATAAGGATTAAAAAGTTTTGTTAAAAATTCATACCGAATGGCAATCAAATAACAATTGTAATATTTGAATAAAAAAGTGATAAAAAAAGTAAAAAAAAAATAGAAATTTTTCTATCCGCATTAAACTCCACCATTTTTTTTTTTTTTATTTAGAAAGTGTAGAATTATAATAGTGTTGGTGCTAAAAAGAAAATGAAAAATGTATACTGCTAAAAATTAAATAAAATTTATGTTTTTAAATAATTAATATATTAAAAAGGAACTATATCATAATATATATAAATACATTAAATTATTAAATTAATAGTAAAAAAGAAAATCTATAAAAAATGTACTATTATATATTGTGTACGGCCATTTTATTCATCTATACAACAAATGCCGTGTTGATATTTTAGCCTTTTCTTAAATAGCTTACATAAATTTGTTAGACAAGGATAGTCATATTATTTGAATTTACATAGACGTCTTTTCAAGATCGACGGCTTGGTATCGACTGAATAAACGCGCGTCTGAATTGCTAAAATTTTCTTTTAAATATTATAATAGTAAAAAAGTGTTTTAATATTGAAATTTATAAAAATATAAGCCATTTTAAACCTATACTTTGTAAATTTAATGAAGTTTAATAGTTTTTAATAAGTTTTGACATTAAAAATTATAGTTGAAAAACTTTGCATTTTTATCATCTAATGAATGACTGAAAAACAACTACAACAAAAAATTGGGGCTCCTCATTGAATAGTGACTGCTAGTATATGGCCGTCATTCAATTATATAGAGGCGCCTCAAAAGAAAAAAATAAAAAAAAATTATTGAAATATCCTTAATATTTCCTCAAAAATAACCATTCAAAATAAAAAAAATCCAAAAAAGTTCAAAACAAGAAGTATTTTAATATTGAAAAAGAAATTTGGTGAATAATTTTTGTTACAATAAAAAAAAAAAGAAAGAAAAGTGAAATTTTTTTTTTATAACCTCTCCTACTTGGGAGAAAAGTTATGAAATTTATGATTTGATGGCAACAAAGTATTAGCAGGAAAAGCTTTTTGTAAATATTTTGAATTTCCTGTGTTGAAAATTTGTTTTTTTTTTCTCATAACGAAGAAAGAGGATTATAAAATATAAAGAGGTAAATTTTCTAACAAAACAATTAACAATTTTAGGAAAGAACTCTTTCAAAAAAAGTTATATTAATGAAGTTTGTATTTAGTATTGAAATATATGATACTTAAATTAAAAAAAAAAACAAAAAACAAATGAAAAAAAAAATATAATAACATATTTTAAATATTATGTACATACATTAATATTATATATACTCGACAGCACATCTACAAATTTGTAGTTGGCTCAACTGCGTGTAGGTAATTGTCATAGACATAAAAGAGAGAAAGTGTCTTGATCAGGAATACATAGGTGTAATATTATATATCAAAAATTAAATTGGTATAACAAAAATTAGATTAAGAAAAATTAAAAATGTATATCTACTTTACAAACACACAGTTTTCTTTAATTTAATTCTTTTTTTAATTTTTGTTTTAATAGAAACAAAAATATGAAAAAATATATTCGATTTAGTACCATCATACCTTAATATTAACCCTCCTTTTGAATTTGTTATATTATCTTTTTAGCAGGTTTGTCTGTTTCATTTACTCCATAGAAATTTTAATATCTCGCAGTTTTTATAAATGTAGTATTTTAGCGCCATTATTATTTGCTACAAAAGTTTGAGAAAAATTATCATGCTACTTCAAGATATGACTGAGATGACACTAGTTTATTTTATAATTATAAATATATATTCACAGTCACACATACATTATATGAAAATGTTTTTTTTTTACATTTTGATTTTGTAGTTTTGCAGTTCTTGTAGTTGCAGTTATCACATTTTGTATGTATCTTTCTGAAATTCAAACAAAAGAAAAAAAAGAAAAAAAAAATAATAATAATATGTCAAATTGAAAATTACATATTTTTTTTCTTATGTTATTAAGATGTGCATGAAATATTTATGCATATGAAAATTATAAATGTGTTTTTGTATCTACAAAACTTAAAAGGTACTTTATTATTAAATTTGTTATTAATTACTAATTAAGTTACTTTTAAATGATAATATAGTATGTTTTCTATATTACTTTTTTTTATATGTATATATTTAATTTTAGGGATAAATGCAATTAAGGTATACAAGAGGCACCTGCCCATATTGATATTTTGCTGAAAGTGTGATAGCTACCTGATTTCTACCTAAGTGATAATCTACCTAAGTGTACAAATTCAATTTATAAATTCTTAAAAAAAAAATTAAAAACTGCAAATGGCATGTATATAAATGTACCTATATCGTTTTTATAAACAATATTGTATCTCCTCAATACGGTCTCAGCATTATCCTAATATTCAGCCCGTTAAATATTAAATTTTTTGTTTATGTTTTGGTAAATTAAATTTATACACTGTTTTTAATAAGAATGTGTTACAGCTATCTTACATTGTTATTTATTATATCAAAAAAAATAAATTTTTATTTACCTATTGAAAATATTTTTTTAATTAAATACAAAATAAAAGATATTAAATTGTAAATTTACATTATCATAAAATGAACTAATTTTTTTTAGTGACTTCATAGTTATACGCTTTTTGTAATAACAAAAACAAAATTAAAATATGTTTTCATTTTACCTACCTACATTATTATATTTTTTTTTTTTTTTTTTTTTTCCTTCTTCACATTATTATATAAATAAGAAAAATTTCTGATATTTTCTATTATTTCATAAATAATACATACTAGGTATTTAGGTATAATTCTTATGATGTGATTAATGTGTAGGTGATCTGCTTCTGTTAAGTTTAAAATGTTTACCAGGAGTTATTATTTATATGTATACCTACACATTTAGATTAAATTATATTAACATAGGTAAATCTATTAAATTTCATTGTTCCAAAAATAAATTAGACTAAATAAAAGAATAAAATATTCTTTATAGAAATTTCAGTTTTCTACATATACCCTTCTAGAACTCAAAGAATCATCTAAAAAAACCAAATTTTATTGGAATATTGGGAAATTTTAAAGTTGATTTTAAATTGTTTTTAATTTGAGTAGTGATTTGAGATTTATTATGCTTTTAGGAAGAAAGCATATAAGAGTAGTAGGCACCCACCTATTTAGAATTACATACTGTAGTTTTATTGATTCATTTACCAAAGAAAAAAATTTATTATGAACTTTATTTTTATGTATTGATTTTTCATACCCACCTTAAGAACTTCAAGAAATATAATAAAGCTGATATGCAACAAAAAAGAGATTTTAGAATTTTTTATTATTTATGTACATATTTTGGATATGTTTAGAGTGTCCAATTAATAATCTATATTTAGATGAATATATTTATGTTGTTAGGAATTTTATATTGCATAACTTATTATAGAAATATTAATTTAGGAAACTGCATTTAAATTTTAAAAAATAAACACTAATGTGTGTGTGTACCGACGTTGGTAAGTACCAATATATAGACTGTTTTTCACCCAATTCTTCATTCGAAATTTTATACCTTGAATATTTCTCTTAATCTGCATTGATTATAAAAAAAAATAAGAAAAGAATAATTTAAACCACCTATACTCAACCACCTTCGCAAATATTTACTAAAAATCATTTTTTTTTTAAATTGTATTAAAATCTTACCGTCATTAAAAAAACATATTGTGTGAACATAATTGAAAATACAATATGCATAAATATCTATGTGTAGTTATTTATATACTAACAGTGTACGTATGTATATAAAAAAATGTATCTACATTGTTTTATATTTACAAATCCATAAGTGAGTACCATTATAATATACACTCTATTTCAGTGTGCCAGACAGATTTTCAAAATACAAACACTGAAAGAAAGAAAAAAAAATCAACACAAAATACATAATGTTAAATAAAAAAAAAATGTTGGCATTATTATATAGGTGCTTCTTTTTTTTTACTACAAACACACTTTTACGTTGCTTTCGTCACGCATGTCACATGTAGCTCAGCGAATAAGAAAAAAAATAATAAAACAAAATAAAAATTGAAATAATAATGTATACCTTTAGTTTCACATACTACATACAAATAATATGAAGGAAGATTATTTGGCGGTGATAACTATGATTATATTAATTATATATTTAATATATGTATGTATATATATGTATATATATACATAACAATTGTATATAATATTTAATTAATATTTAAAAAGCTTTTTCTCAAGCATACATAACAAAATATGCAACTATATTTATTATTTTATATTCTGCAATTATTAAACTACGTAACTATTATGATTTACTAAAGAATATCTACAAAAATTTATTGTAAATATTTATGTAGGTAGAGTACAATCTTAGTAAAATAAGTATATGTAGGCTTGCAAGCATACCTACCTAGAAACCAATTTATGTATGTATGTACTAATTTGTCAAATTTTTTGTATTTGATTTGCATTATAGTGTTAAACAAAAATATTATTTTGTAGGAAAATTATCATAATATCTTAATAATAAAAGAAATGTTCATTAATTATATTAGTTATTCACAAATTTAGCTTGTTCAGAGAATAATATTTAGTTAAAAAATGTTTGAGGTATACATTTTTTATATCAATTTTTCCAACTTATTATATTAGTCCTTTAAATAAAGTAACATTAAATTTAATGTCATTTGATTTAAAATCGCTCAGTAACAATTAAATATTCCTTTTTTTTTATGTTAAAAAATATTTTACTATTTCCAGGAGTGTTTTAATTAGATCTTTACGTAACTCATTGTTAACATTAAGTGATTTTTTTTTTAATTTCTGCATCAATTTGATTTGCTAATACCACTAACAATAATATAGCTGAATCTCCAAAATCTATTGCATCTATTTTTTGTTTTTCCAAAAAACAATAATGGCTTTAGAATTGGTGTTTAAGAATATTCTATTCTTTCGAACATTGATTTGATTTTTAATTTCCAAGCCCCAGATTCTACTAATTTACGATTTGTTCAAAAAAATTTATTTTGCATCTTAACGTATATTAGAAAAAGATAATTTTATATATCAGTTTCATGCTACATATTATGAGTTCAGTAAAACTTCTAAACATGTATTAAAAAGCATATTTTTTATTCAAAAACAATATATGTAAATAATAAGTTTGTGCCTATTATAAATTATATTATTATACATTGTACGGAAATTATGTTTAATGCAATCAAAGAAGCTTTTAAAATAAAAATCAACAATATTCTTATTAAATTTACAATTATTTTTTCTTTAATTAATGAGTCATCATATGGACGTCACATATTTCATGTTTTCAATTTATTATTTTTTCTTTTTGGTTAATATATACAGAAAAATTATTTAAAAAATAATGGGTATACACAGGTACTGAGGTATATACCAATCTATCTACTTTTGAAAGATTTTTTTGAAGAATATATTGGTAGTTTTGTTATTTAAAACCTTAACTAAACATAATATTTATAATATAAAAAACTGGATGTATGTACGAGTATGTACATATGAATGTATGTACGTACACATGAAAAGAGTTCAATATTTTTTTTCATTTAAAACTCTTTGATTTTTTTCTAATTATTAGAAATTAATATAATCAATGAATAAGAAAAATTAATCATAATTATTTTTATTTGCAGAAATTCAATAATTGCAATCAATTTCAAAACTAAATTTTGTAATGAATACATCGAGCTGACTAAACGTAAGTATTAGTTGAAATTGGTAATTTTTTTTATTTAGTTTTATATTAATTTCCTCTTGTACTTTTATAATTTTTCGATATTTTTATGGTAATTAAAAAATATATATATATTTTTTTTAATTGATTTCAGTCTGCTTCATTATGCAGCAATGTACAACTGAAATATTTTCCTTTTAAGTGTGAGTTTAAATAATTATATAATTCTTAATCATGTTATAATAATATCCAATTTTTTTAAAATTTTAGATTTAAATAAAAAAAGAATACAATAAATACGTAATCAATACGTATTAAAAAAAAAAGAAAAACAAATATAAAATTTATTCGTTAGAATTGGCGCCTGAAACAACAAAAATGGAAACCGAACCTCCACCACGAATTGAACCCCATATAGAACCTGTTAATGGTATTGTACAACCACCAGTTGAACCTCCACCAGAACGTCCAGGTCGTAATACAAATCAGTTACAATATATATTAAAGACCGTAATGAAAGCAGTATGGAAACATCAATTTTGTTGGCCGTTCCAGCAACCAGTTGATACAAAAAAATTAAATCTTCCAGACTATCATAAAATTATTAAACAGCCAATGGATTTGGGCACAATAAGAAAACGTTTAGAAAATAATTATTATTGGTCTTCTAAGGAGGCAATACAAGATTTTAATACAATGTTTACAAATTGTTATGTTTATAATAAACCTGGAGAGGATGTCGTAGTAATGGCCCAAACATTAGAAAAACTTTTCCTAGCAAAAATTGAAAGTATGCCTAAAGAAGAAATTGAAATAGAATCAGCAACTCCTAAGGGTCCCAAAAAGAAAACACAAGCAAGTAGACCTGCAACTGGTGGTGGAGCATCAGTGACTGCAGCTACAGCAGCAGCAGTTGCGGCTATAGGCGCTACAACAGTTAATCCATCAACGCAGTTACCACCTGTAAGTGGAGCTGTCCCAACCGGTATGTTAGAAGGTTAAATGCCTTAATATTATATTAAAAATAAATGTTGAACGATTTTTTAATAAAAAAAAAAATAGGTGGTGGCATAGCATCAGCGACATCTGTTCCACCAATACCACCAATTGGCACAGTACCCCCGCAAACAGTTCCTGGTAGCACGAATACAACAACTACAGCAACTGGTGTACCGGGAAGTATTGCTTCAGCAACAGCTACTGGAACTACGCACAATTCATTGAGTGGGAGTGTTGTTGCTAATTCAACATTATCAGGTGGACCATACGGAATTGAGGGTGTCATACCACCACAACAACCTGCTAAAATGAAAAAAGGTGTTAAGAGAAAGGCAGATACGACGACCCCGACAGCAAATGCATTTGAATCACCATATACTCCAATTGAATCAAAAAGTGCTAAATTGCCTGCCAGAAGAGAATCTGGTCGACAGGTAAATAAGGTATGCGGAATGGAAAGAATTTTTATATATTTTCGTCTTGAAAATATTTTAATATAACTTTACAAAATATCATTTCAAATCACATTTGTTTTAAAATTTTTTATTGTTTATTTTTCACATATGTAAGTGTAAATCATCAAAATAAAATTTATGAATAATATAGTTATGTTTAAATATGTAATTATTCATCCATCCGCTTATTATTATGTTTATAAGCCTTTAAATACATAATTTTTATTTAATGACTACAAAATCCACAACGAATTTGAATGTTCTTTTTAATTAACTCAGTAAAACCTTTTAAAGGTATATAAATTGCATAGACTATTGAAAGAGTTTTAAAAGAAAGAAACTTTTGTTGATATTTAACACATTTTTTTTTACTAAATTTATTCACAATGATTTTGCTCTTTAAAAAGCTCTTGACTTGAATGTTTTTGCTGAAGAACTATGCGTTCATTCAAATTCATGAAAACTCAGTTCATCTAAAACTAATGTAAGTGTTGGTTTTTTAAATTTAGGATCAAATGTCATTCCAATCATCAACTTATCCAATGTCACCATTAACTGGAGCACCAGGATCAGCAGCACAAAAAAATAAAGAAAAGCTATCAGACTCATTAAAATCATGCAATGAAATATTAAAGGAGTTATTTTCAAAAAAGCATTCTGGATATGCGTGGCCATTTTATAAACCAGTTGATGCTGAATTATTGGGTTTACATGATTATCATGATATTATCAAAAAACCAATGGATTTGGGAACAGTGAAAAGAAAAATGGATAATCGCGAATACAAAACCGCACAAGAATTTGCAGCTGATGTTCGATTGATATTTACAAATTGTTATAAATATAATCCACCAGATCATGATGTCGTAGCTATGGGCCGAAAATTACAAGATGTGTTTGAAATGCGTTATGCGAATATACCCGACGAACCTTTACCAAATGCCCATGGCCACTTTGTAAGCGCAGGGGTGGTTCCTGTAAATGCTGCTTCTGCTGGTCCGGGTGGCCTCAGCAATATTAACATTAAACGTGAATCTGATTCTTCATCAGATGAATCGTCTGACTCCGATATGGAATCAAATTCAGATGAAGAAAGAAAAGGAAAATTAAAAGTGTTGGAAGCAAAATTATTAGAATTACAAGAGGAAATGCGTAAATTAATGGAGGAGGCATCCAACAAAAAGAAAATAAAAAAGAAAATGAAAGAAAAGGCTGGTAGTGGTGTAGTTGGAGGAGGCAGTAATAAAAAAGGAGTAACAAATTCGACTAGCATGGCTGGTAGCGTCGGTGGCGTGGCATCAGCATTAGATACTAAACTTCCATGCGACTTACATAGTGTGGGAAAAGGAATAAATGTAGGATCTAATGCTCAAGCGGCTAGTAATTTAGCTGGCACCGGTAACCCGCCAGCAAATAAAGGTGCTAAAGTTAAAGGACAACGTGGTACAAAACAAAGTAACGTTGGCGCTCTTGCAGCTGGTGGAGCCGCTGCAGGAGCCGGTAGTGTTGGTGGTGGAGCTGGAGGTGGAGGTGGCGGTGGTGGTGGCGGTGGAGCTAAACGAGGGAAAAATAATGCAGCAAGCGGACCTGCTACAGCTAACGCAAACGCTACTGGCGGAGCGGCTGGTGCTCAGAGAAATGCTAATAAAAAGAAAGCTGGTCAAGTGATGAATTTCGATTCAGAAGAGGAAGACACAGCAAAACCTATGTCATATGATGAAAAGAGACAATTGTCTTTAGATATTAACAAGTTACCAGGTACATTTTTTATAGACTATATAAGATACAAAACAATATACGTTCAAAAATAATTGTTTTTAGGCGATAAACTTGGGCGAGTTGTTCATATAATTCAAAGTAGGGAACCATCATTACGTGATTCAAATCCAGATGAAATCGAAATTGATTTTGAAACACTAAAACCGTCAACATTAAGGGAGTTGGAAAGCTATGTTGCTTCTTGCCTTCGTAAAAAAACTCGTAAGCCTTACTGTAAGTTTATCCCAATGGACACTACACTACTATCAACGATTTTTATAAGGATACTTTACACGAAAAAAAATCCTATTTTTAATTTTCTAATAATAATTTAAAAAAATCTCCTTAAAAATTGAAAAAAAATTAAAATCATATGAATTTATTTATAGTCATAACCAATTTAAGCTACTGTTACATTTTCCCATTTTTTATGAAAGTCTTAATTTTAAATATTTGAGGCCGCCGAAAATAGCAAATAAAAAGCATATTTCCTTTTCCTATTCAAACTAAATCTTTTTACCAATTCAGCTGAGAAAAGAAATCTAAGAATTGACCACATTTTCACTGTAGACAGTTTGAGTGAAACAAAAAATTCGCACTTATTTTTGATATTTTTTTTGGCTTTTATTTTGATACCACAAAAAGCGGCTTCTATTAAAACAAAAAAAAAATTATTAAGTTTTTGGTATTAAATCTTTTATTATTATTCCACAAACATTTAAAAACATAATTTTAGATAACACATTATAAATTTTTAAGGCACGTATTTAACGTAAACCTTTCATATCATTAAGGAATTATTTTTTTTTATATTATATTATCAGATTTAATTGATTTTTGTTGATATTTGGAAATTGCACTTTATTTTCGCCGATATATTTTTTTTTGTTTATAGTAAGAAATTCCGATGCTACATTAAAAGAATGTATACTGTTTTAAATTCACAACGCGTGCCTAGTTATTTGTTTTTATTTTTTTCGTTTCTGAAAAATGAATATAAAATATTTATTTAAACCATCACTAAATTAAGGATTAAAATTACTTATAATTTAGTACATTACAATTATTTTTTCTTTTGGAAATTATTTATCAATTTTGATTTTCGTAGGGCCATAAAGAAAGTTTAAGAAAGAACATCAAGATTTTAATAATGATAATTTGAAGAAGAAAAATACATTATACATATATTTAATTTACAGAAAATTAAATATGAAACCTAGTAGTGTCTGTGTTAATTGGATGAACTGAGCACATTATTTATTTCTATTATTTTTCATAAATAAATAAAATTGGCATGGTAGAGCATGTTAAATAAAGAAAACAGCGTTCAATTTTTCTGTATTCTTTTTGTGGCAGTTTTATATCTTTATTCAAGGAAAAATAAACAAATATCTCATTTTCCTTCAGAAATTTTATTGTATTATTATTCTTTTTTTAATATTTTGATTTTCTTTGTAGCTTTTAGTTTGGTGATGGGTTGAATTTTTTTATATAAACATATAATATTTATTTATTTTAATTAAATATAAAAAAATGGGCGGAGGATATTTATTTTTTTCTTAAATTGGGTATAAAAATAAAACTTTAGAAAATATTTCTCAGAAAAATAAATATAGTTTTTAAAAGATATCCAATTTCGAATAGAAGTAATTTTTGTTTCTATTATTAAAAATAGCTTACACCATAAGATTATAAAGTATGAATTAATATTAACATAAAATTTGCATGAATTAGTATATTAATATATAATGCGATATTCAAAAAAATTACAAAAATTAACATTTTTCTTTTTTATTAGTCATTTTCATGTACTTCAACTTTTAGTTTATATTTATAATTTTAAAAATTTTATCTAATGAACTTTACTTCTAAAATGGTTCAAATTGATATTGTTTTTTCTCTTTTTTTTATCAAAAATTAATTATTAGATAAAAAAATATCTGGAAAATCAAAAGATGAACAAATGGCCGAAAAGAAGCAAGAACTAGAAAAACGTCTTCAAGATGTAACTGGGCAATTAGGAACAGCAAAAAAGACCGCGAAAAAAGGTAATTAAGTTTTCTTTAGTTGTAATACGTAAAATCAGGATTTTCACTGAAATTTAACATTTTTATTCCAATGTTTTAAACGTTATGTTTCACTTTAAATCAATTATGTAGTATCAACAGTTATTTAAGTAACATATACTAAGGTAGATGCATAAGTTTTTTTTAAAGTTATACTATTAAGATAATTTGTCGATATTTAAAAAAATGGATACTGAGTAACGCTTTCAAAAAATAACAATTATTTATTTATCAATAATAAATATATGATGGGCAATAAAATTATCTTAAGAATTATGTTTTATCCAAAAAAATGTTTCGATATTTTATTACAGTATTAACTAACCCATTTGTTTTAAATTTATTTTTTTTATAATTTATTTGATTGAAATCAGAAGACGCAGCGAATAAAGTTGATGTAACACATGGTGGTCATGAAACATCAAGTTCATCTTCTAGTGATTCATCTTCGTCCAGTTCAAGTGACAGCACTTCGAGTGATTCAAGTGATAGTGAAGCAGGTTAGGACGCGATTTTTTTTAAAAATCATTAAAAAAAAACACAAAAATACAAAAAAAAAGTTGTTTTTTTTTTCCTTTTTTTTCAATTAGTTTTTTTCATTAAGTTTAATATTTTTAATTGTTTTTATTATTTTTTTTAATATATATGTTTTTCTATATATATATTTTTTTTAATATTCTACCAATAAATTAGTATTTACCTTTTATTAAGTTAGTCAAAACATAATTTTTTAAAACAAGTCATTTCTTATAATGTAATTAAGAACAAAAAAAGAATAATTTTAAATAATCGTAGAACTATTGTTTAAGATAAAGCTAAACAAAGGCAAAAATGTTGACAAATTAAAATTTAAAGCGTATTATGTCATTATTTGTATAACAATAAAATACAAAAAAGAAAAGAAAGTGCAGATGAAATTTATTAATTAAAAAAAAAACATACAACTCTAAAAAGAAAAAAGAATAATTGAAAAAATGAAACTATTAAGTACTTATTAGAAAAAATTACTTATTTAAAATTTATTGAAATCAAACTGTTTTAAAAAGCATTGACTACAAATATTTAAATCAGCTACATTAAAATATATTTTATATGTGATATAGCTAAAAATGTACATTTAAATATAATTCTATTAAAATGTAATAGAATTTCACTGACTTTTTCTTGAAATACAGAAATTGCGTTTTATCTAATATTTTCAAAAGCACTTATAAAATGAAATTCAAACATTTAAAAAGTTTTTTCTTAGTCAGTTATGATTTTTACTTAGTTTCTATAAACAAACATGTGAAACGCAAAACAGAAAAAACCGAGTAATTTTTCTTAAAAACCATAGTATTCAATCAAATAAAATTATTTCTTTTTAGTATCAAGTTATATATCAAAGTTAACTGCTTAAAATAGGGATATCTATATTTTTTCAATGAAACGATTAACAATTGAAGATTGTAATACATTACGAAAAAATAAGTTGCAACATAAAACGCATAAATGTAATTTAGTTTTGAGACAAATGAAGTTTGTAGTTATATGTTCGGGTTAAAATTGCGGTATTCATAAATGCATCAAAAAGATTTGAAAAATTCCTTAAATATGTAAAATTTATATATGTACACATTACAAAACAGTAGTTATTTTAATATTCTTGTATATAAAAATTTATGATTTTATGTAACAAAAAAAGTTAAGTATATTGCTTGTCGTTATTGGTTTCCTGTTTTATTTTACTAAATGTAATCGTAAATCTTCGATATTGTAATAAATACTAATTTTTTAATTGTTGAAGTAAAATGAAAAACTTTTATTTTAATTTTTAAAAAGAACTGTTATTTTATCCTTAAAAAAATTAAAAAAATTCAATCTCGCAAAATATTCAAAATCATTAACATTTATGTGTCATATATAAAAACAAAATAAAATCTTACATACAATAAGAAATTTCATTAAGTCTCAAAATATTAAAAAAAATTTTTAGATAGAAAAATACTTACATACTTAATAAAAGCTAATCAAAATCGTAAAGTTAAAAAATAATTAAGTAGTTAAAATGTTATATTAATAAAAAACACAATATTATTGAATTATTTTCTGTTTTGATTAAACAGAAGAAAAAAATTTCTTATTTTCATTTAAATTTTAATTAGATTTTTTTCAAGTAATGTACTTTTAAAAAGTATCTATTTGCATAGGTATATAAAATATTTTTTCTTAGTAGTAGTGTTGAAAATAATAATATTATTGAAATATAAATTAAAGATTGAAACCAGTTTATGTAGGTTATAGCAATTGTAAACAAAAGTATAAATTTAAGGAAACTTAATTAGATATTCTTTTTTTTTTAAATATAAGCTAAATTTCTAAAATATTACAATACCGTATTCTTAATTAAAAATTTCACTGTATTTTCAATTACTTTTTCGTTTATTAAATTTAATTTGTGCTAAGATTTGTCCTATTTGCTATAAACAAAAAATAACAAACCTAGTCGCTCCCTATGTTATATTTATATATTTTTCGAATATATTTTACATCTTAAAGTTTGTATTAAAAAAAAATTCATTACAACATATAACAATAAAAAATTAATTGTGTGTGCAAAAATCCTATTTTCAAACTAGAATTAAATTGGTATATTTACGCTGTTAATCTTATAAAATGCTAACAAGAATTTTTATAGAAAGCAAAAAGTTCAATTTAATATATAATTTATTTATTGCAGCATGAAAAAGTAATGAAAAGTGTATCCAATTTCTTTTTCTGCATTATTTTTCCTTCAGTAAATTTTCACATTTTTAGAAGATTCTAAAAAATTAATTAGCATGAATAATATCGGTCCCATTTTGTTAAAAAAATATTTTATAAATATAATAAAGTTATAGTTGTTAAAAAAAGAAAAATAAAAAAAAACTCAAAAAAATTTATTATGAACTAGCATACTGCCGCTTCATTTATTTATTATATTCTTTCGATTAATACAACCATGTTTTTTTAATTATTTTGAAAAATTCCTTTTAATTTAATTAAAATTGTTATTTCTTGTATATTATTCTTATTATAATATTTCGTGAATTACTTTTGATTAAAAAATCTATTTTTCCAAAAAATTTTTTTTAAAATAAGCCTTATTTGAGATTTTTGTTTTAATTTAATAAATATCTTGACTGTAATTAATTGAAAGAATGATTTATGATAAGTAAGTTTTTTTAAATTAAACTAAATATAACTAGATTCTTAAGTACCATAAGTGAAATTATAAATAATTTTAAATAAGATTAAAATAAGTTAATAAAAGCAGAAAATTAAAAAAAAAATTTGTTCAAATTCTTTGTAAAAGAATTTAATTTAAGTATAGTTTACGCTTTTCCTCTCTAACTACCATACATATGCATCGTAAGTTTTTATCAATTATATAAATATATTATTTACAAATCAGGAAAAATATAATAGTGTTATCATTTGAATTTAATAATCGTTCATTTATTGAATTTAATAATCGATTCAAATTATTGTTCGGATTACTATATTTTAATTTTGAATTATTTTAATTTATGAGGAAAACTCTACGTTTTCTTATTTGATGTCCAATTATCATAAATGAGTATTTTCTATGTTCGAACTGTTGACATTTATTGTAAAAAAAATTATGACAGGTGTAAATTTTGTCATTAACTACATTAAATTTAAAAGAACCCGGTTTGATGAAACTGCCATGCATAACGTATTTCGATTTTCCGTAAATCCAAGAAATTCTCTTTATTCGATTACGATTTTGATTTAGGCAGGTTAAACTGTATTTATGTACATATTTATATGACTAAATAAAAAATGTGTATGTAAATATATTAAAATATAATTATATCGTTAGGTTTTTACAAGTACATATGCTATATAAGTATATAGAATTTGTTAAAAAATTTCAAGAAATATTTATGTACATTTGAATATACAAACTTTTATCATAGAACTACAAAAAAATTATCTTTAATTTTTTTTCTAATTAAAAAACGTATAAGAATCGAAGTTTTTTTTTAATTACAATATTTTTATACAATTTTTTCTATTTTGTCATAATCTTTAATTTAATTTTATAATAATAATATTTATTATTATAATCGATATTAGTTTTTTCTCATTTCGAAATCAAAAATTATTCTTTTTTTTTTATGTAAACTGTGACATAATATTATTAAATTTTCTTATTTCTTATTTTATACAGTTAGCAATTAAAAATAAATTACTACAATGTAAAATTAACATTAATTAAAATATTTAAAACAAGAGTGAAGAGTAAAATAAGAAGCCTGTTTTTACATTTAATTAAAATGAAAAAATAACATGATAAAGCAATAATGACTTATATATGTAAATATATATATATATATATAAATGATAAAGGTAATAAATATATATGTATATACATATATTAAATAATAATATATATTATATAAATAATAATTGAATGTATTTATTTCATAAACTTTGAATATAAATTTTAATTAATTTTAAACATTAATGTAAAAAAAAAATAGTGTTTATGTAATTTGTATAAAAGTATTTATATAGTTTCAGGATTTTCTTTATTATTTTTTTTAATTTTTGTTTTTAATTTTTATATGATTTTAAAAAGGAAAGTACATAATTGAACAAATTTTAATATGAAAAAAATATAAAATTAAAGAATCATTTTCACTAAATATAATATGCTTTTAAGAAGACCTGAAAAAAAAAGTGTATAATCAAAAATAATTATTCAATAGAAAAGTATAAAAAAAAACATTTTTATCTTATTTTTCCTTTTAATATTAATTATATAACGTACACATATATATATATATATATATTAATATATAAAATATAATATAAAACATAATATATTTTCTAATCAGAAAAAAAATCGTGAAGCAATTGTGTATTGGGGCCAGCAGCCATTTATTTATTTATTATACTTAATTTATATTTATTATTATTATTACTTTTTTTCTAAATAGTTTATCATCATTTTTATATACATAAAAACAAATTATTCTACTAAAAATCATAACAAAACGGGTCAGTCGGAAAAATTTATAATTTTACAAAAATTTTATATTTTATTTTATAAATATTATACGAAAAACTTTTAAAATAAAACCTTTCCATATTTTTGCAATTTATTTATATACAAATAACATTAATTGAAGTAAGTATATAATATATAATTTAAATTAATGAAGAGTTAAGTTAAAAAAAAGTATTTATATATTTTTTTAAAAATTTAAAATAAGAAAATCAAATATGAATAATAATAATAGAGATATATAAAAAAAAATGCATAAAATTTTAAAAAAGAAAATAATTTTACACTTATTTTAGCTGTTATTATACTATTGAAGAATAACTTGAATCAAAAATATGAAGTACTAAGTTGCTTTGAATTTTTCTTACAATTTTTCATTTTGTTAATTTCAAGTGCATTATATAAATACATAAGTTTTATACTTTTAATGATTTATTATAATAT